CCTCAGGCCTGATGACCACAGCTGTCAAGATCTTGGCGTTTCTTTTCCCTGTGCACCCAGCGGCTCCAAGGGACCTCAGCACTTCCGGTGAAACGTTGCACTTGCGCCAGGAACCGGTGCAGCCGGAGCCGAAGGCGCACCCCGCAGACGTGGGGCGGGGTGGGGGGGGCGAGGCAGGCGGCTGGGGGCACCTTCCAGGAGCCCCCTCGGGCGGGACCACCGCGGAGGCCAGCTCTAACCCAGCTTCCTCAGCCGAGGGCCGGGGGGATTTTCGGTCGGGACCCTTGGGCAATCCCCCGCTGTTACCTAAACGGTCACAGGGCCCGCGGCGGACGCGGGCCGAGGGCGTCGCTGGGTCTCCTGAGAGGAAATGTGACGGGCGGAGGGCTGGATAAGGGAACTGCTGGGCTGGCCTCGTCCAGAAATTTCCTGTCGGGTGTTTCACTTCGCGTTTAGGGAAGGATTGAGGAACTCCTGGGAATCCAGTTCGCAAGGGGCGAGGCTCCGTGGGAAGGGGCTCTGCCGCGGCCTGCCCCCCGCCGCCCAGGCCTGGGGACGCGGGGCCTCACTCCGGGGGTGGGGAGGGGCCCCGGGCCTGAGAGGTGGAGGCTCTGTGCCTCTGCGCCTCCACCGCCTGCTGGTCCTGAGCGTGCACTCGGCCTTGACTGTCTCCATCTCCAGGTCTTGAGAGAAAGAAGGGCAGACAGACAGGACGTGCGGGCGGTGGTGCGGCTCTGGGCGCACGCCTGCAGCTCTGCCCGCTGCGCCGCCGACGCAGGGCCCCTCAGTCCCATCCCCGTCCCGGTCCCCGTGCCGGACGGCCTCCCGCTTCCTCTCAGCCCCACCCCGGAACCTCGGCCGCGTGAGGCGAAAATGCAGGTGGCCGGGCTCACGGGCGCTCGTGGGAGAGCGTGGGTTCCGGTGTCACGCAGGGAGGACTGCATCCTTGGGGTGGGGGTGGGGGCGGGGGTGAGCTCGGCCGCGCCGCGGACTCCGCAGAGCGGATCTGGGAAGCCTGGACAGAGAGAGGGCTGCGGGATTTTCTTCTCATTTCATGGATCCTTAACCCCTATTTAAAGCAGACTCTGGGTTTTAGACACAGCCAGTGCGCTGGTAATTATTTCAAACACTTAAAAAAGCTAGTTAATGATGTTCAACATAAGTAATCATGTTAAATAGTAAAATTTAATTTCTTAAAAACTTAAATCCTCCTATCTTCTGGAATGCATTGTTCTGTCGGATGTCTGAGTAAATTAAATTCTCTCCCGCACACTAAAGCATCAATTTCCTTATGGTAATTATCCGCTAGATTGGATCTGTCAGCGCAGGGAAGCAAGCCTGACATTGCACCCTCTTCACAAAAAATGATTACAAAAAATTAAGACGAATGAGTAAAATTACGGCTGCGGCTGGTAAGCCCCTGCAAAGCCCCATGGATCACCCGGCGCGGGACGCCATTGTGCGGGCCCAGCTTTTAATGACGGCCCGCATAATCAGGCGAGGCCATTACGGACTGGCAGCAGCCACCGATCACAGAGATAACGGCGGAAAGCGCTTTTCCGCCCAGGAGAAGCAGTTCACCGCGCACAGGACGTGTCTCCGACGGGAGTGCCCGGGCAGGGGGCACCTGCGAAGGTGGCCGGCTTCCTTCCCGGACCTTCGGCCGACCCGGTGATGCTCACCAGGACCTGGGGGAGCCGGCCGGCCCCCGGCGACCCTGTGCCGGGTCGTCCCCGTGTCTGGTCTGGGTCCTCAGAAGCTCCTCGGGACAGAGAGAGCCTTTGGCTCCAGGCTGTGCCCCCGCTGACCACACCAGGGCTAGCCCTGGGGCCCACCCACTGGCGTTAAACCCAGCCACATGTGACCGCAGTCCGGGGTGTAACTGCCCAGCCCTCTCGGCCGGCAGGCTAGATTAACTAACTCTAAGGCTGAAGAAAAAGCACAATCCCCACGGAACCCCGAGGACAGCATAACAATTGAGGGCCTCAGGGTTTGGGGCCCCAGAGGGGCTGCCACCCCGTCCCCTCCGGCCCCCTCCTGGCCCCTCCTGGCCTCCCTACAGGACTCTCCAGCCCTGCAGTGCCTCTGTTCCTCTCGGAGCATGTTGGTGACGGCCCCCCACCCGGGCCTGGCCTCACCTTCTGAGTCTGCCTCTGCCCCTGCACCCTGCACCCTGGGGGGCCCAGCCCTGCTGGAGCGACCCCCACCAAGGCGCAGGTTGCCTGAGTTGCAGGACCAGAGGGCAGGGTGTCCTCGGGCCTGGCAGAAGCCCGGGACGTGCAGGGAGATAAAAGGAAGGCGGAGGGTGTGGGCGACGCCAGGCCCTCGGTGCTCACGCCCACGGACGCAGGCCGGGACAGTCCCTTCTTAGGAAATGGAGCAACCACGGAGTGAGATGCCGCTTTCTCGTCTGACTTAGGTGAAATCTGGACGGGGGGGGTGTTTTCAAAGTAAGAGTGCTCGGTGCCTCGGTGCCTCGGTGATGGTTTGCAGGCAGCGCCCACGGCCGGAGCGGGCCGGGGGCAGCAGATGCAGAGCGTGCGAGGGTTCGCCTGGAGGAAGCCCACCGCCCGCCGCCCGCCGCCCTGGGGAGCCCTGCTCCCCTGCATCCGCTCAGCTCGGGGACGTCGGCACGTGCCCGGGACCAGGGGAGGCCCACGGTGACTCACAGGTGGCTGCAGCCTCGTCACCACGGGTGACGGCTGCCCCACACAGGAGACCTGGTGGGGCAGCGCCAGACGCCCCAGGGACAAGGGACGCTGGTGCGCGCCGCGCTGAGAGGGGAGGCAGCTCCACGGTGGATGCAGGACGGCTCCCGAGGCTCGCTCTGGCCTGGCTGCCGGACCCCTGCCCACCAGGACTGCCGCCCAGGTGGTCGGGGTGAGGCCCCAGGGCATGCCCAGGTGGTGGCCCCGGGCGCGGGGCCAGGCGGGCGGGGCTGTGGGCCACATGGACAGCCTGCGGCCCCGGGGAGGGAGCCTGCTTCGGAGGCCGGTTACTCTAATGCAGCAGCGGCGCCCACAGCTGGCGAGAGTCTCCAAGGCGCCCGAACCGCAACCACGGGTGCTCTGTCCTCTGGCGCCTTGCCCCCAGTGGCCTCCTGATGAGACGTGCGCGGCGTGGACAGAGGCCCTTCACCACAAACCTGGGTGCCAGCCAGGGCCTGCCCTGAGAGTCGCCGGCCCCAATGCGGGCCAGGTGAGGCGGCTGCCGGGGTCACTCAGGGGAATCTAGAAAGTCAGAGAATGGGGAACATAACAACTGACACCAGGAGCAGGCGGCGACCCCAGCCCCTCATTCAGGGGCACAGCGGGAAATGGGGGGCCTCCGCACCCTGGATAGTTCGTCCCCCTCGTCCCCGGAAGCCCCGTCTGTCTGGGGGCCCTGCGCCCTGCTCCCTCTGACCCCCACTTCCTCCTCGGGCAGGAAGTGCACCAGGGGACCCCGTGCAGCTCCTCACAGGAGGTGCCTGGCTGGGGCGGGGCCCCTCTGCCCCGCGCTGAGAGAGGGAGGGGCGCGGTCACGGCCACGGCTGCAGCTTTCCTGAGCCAGCAGGGGAGGCTCCCGGAGGACAGGCCAGAGGACACAGGTCAGGCCACAGCCAGCAAAGACAGCGTGGCTCCCTGCATGGCCTCCCGCGCCTTCCTTGCAGAAGGGGTCAGGTCTGCGAAGGCCCCAGGCTCTGAGCTCCGCCCGAGACCTGGGAGGCTCTGTGGGGCCACCCGGCGCCCGCCAGGGGCTAGTGGAGGGCGGCCGAGCCACAGATGCACCTGCGGGGCCCCCGGGTTGACCCCCGCACGGGCCGGCTCCAGTCCGGGGGCGGGAGGCACCTCCATCATTCTGCGCAGCCACGAGCCGAGCTGACGAAGATCGGCACTGCCCAGAGCGTCAGGGGCCGCCCTCCCCGGGGAACAGGCACGCAGCCCATCCCTACGCGCTGCAAGGGCTCTGCGTCATGGGTGTTTCTGCCCAACGGCCCCGAAGGGGCAGAGCGGGGAGGGCCCCCCCCAGCCCCGCAGGTCTCCCCCCACACACACACACACGCTCTGTCCCCGGGCCCCCTGGGCTCAGCCCAGATCCCTCAGGACCATCCGGCCCTTGCCCTGCCGTGGCTTTTGGGCATCGCCCCCCCGCCCCCGACACCGCGCTCAGACGGCCCCTTCGGGTGTCCACAGTGCCCGTGTGCAGGGCCGACTCCCCCGGCCCTGCGGTCCGGCAGCCGGCAAACTCATTACACGATGATTCTCGGGGAGACACAGGCCGCTGACTCCGCGCTCTGCACCATCACACCGCGACCCGCGCTGCAGGCTGCGCCTCTGCTCCTCCCGCTTCAAAAGAACATTAGTGTTGCTGTGACCTTTACCGGGCGGCCAGGGAAGCGTGTCCTTTCAGCGGCAAGGCCTGGAGCGTGCGCTGCGGGCCCTGGTCGCGGAGCAGGGCAGGGCAGGCCTTTGCCCCAGAGGGAGTCTCTGCAGAGCGGCCGCAGCTGGGGCCCGCGGCTCGCAGGCGGGTCAGACTCAGCGACCGCCGCGTGGGGGGGGGGTGCGCTTCACGCGCCTCACGGTCCCACGCCGTCTCTTGGGGTTTCCGAGAGTGACGGGCACCGCTAGGCAGCGTCTGATGATGAGCCACGGGAGGGCAGATGCCACTTGTCACGGGGCAGAGGCTGGCAACGGCAGAACGCCCCCAGCAGGAGCTTTGTAGGTGCTGGGTTCGCACGGGTGTCCGGTGACCGGGGCGGCACGGGGCGGACCCAGTGCTGCGGTCCGCTGCAGCCGGCGCCCCGCCCCGCAGAGGCCCCGCCCCGCCGCAGGCGCCTGGGATTCTAGGCAGCGGTGACCACCAACCAAGTGGCCTCCGTGACCTTCACTGCGCATGGCGTCACTGGCCCCCCCCTTGGTGTTGGGGTGCGGGCGACAGTCTCCGGAGATGGAGAGTTGTGTTTTGGTCTAATTTTTTTTTTTTTTTACAGAACTGCTCCTTCTGAAATGACTGGAGTGCAAGGTCACGTGCAGTGGAGTCCTTCCTGCTCCAGAGGTGAGTCCACTCAGCGGGAGGGGTGGCCGCACGCTTCCCGTCTGTCCCCGTGTCGAGCCGGCCCACGGCGCCTCGGAGGGTCAACAGCCCAGTCCACGCCCCCGGAGCAAAGAGAGCAGGCTGCACCTTTGGGTGGGGTGAGCAGGGAGGCCCCAGAGGAGCCCCGTGTCTGTGCAGAGTCCTGGGGTGTGCCCCCGTGGAGGCCCTGGGGCTGGGGAAGGAGGGCCTGCCCTCTGCATGCACCACCTCTGACGTGGCGCCCTCGGGGACGAGTGTCAGTCTCTCTCAGTCGCCAGGTGCCTCGGGCCACACAGGGGTTTTCGACTGGGTAGTCTGTGAGCAGAAGAGCCGGCGGCCTGCGCTCGGCCGTCAGAACGCCTGCACTGCCTTGGTCAGGACACGGGAGCTCTAGGCGCCCCGACTCTGGCCAGGAACCTTCCCAGATGGAGCCCGTGCTGCCGTGGCCTCCAGGGAACCTCGGTCGCTGTCATGGAACGGTGGCGTCCTGGGGCCCGGCCCATGGCGCGGCCCAGGCTGGGTCTGAGCCGCCCCCACTGTCAGAATAGAGCGTCCCCCCTCACTCCACCGGCACAGAGGCTCGGAGCACACAACCGTCTTTTATTCCCGGCCGAGGGCGCCCAGGCCGCGCCGGGGAGGCGAGGGCGCCCCGCTGGGCCGGCGGCCCCTCAGTAGCTGGCCGCCTTCTTCCCCTTCCCGGCGAAGGGGTTGCAGGGCCTCACGAGCGTGACCATGCTGGACAGCGGCGCCCGGCGGCGGAAGGGGCCGCCCGCCAACTCCGCCCGCAGGATGCTGGAACACAGTGGGGGTGGGGTGGGGGGGAATGGACGCATCAGAGGAACAGGTAGCCCCGCCTGCTCCGCAGCCGTCACGCACACGTGTGGGAGGGAGCGCGTCAGAGCGAGCGAGTGAAAGCGAAGCTGCCAACCGCCCGCACTCTGCTGCCGTCTGAATCGCACACACAACGCGGTGAGCTCCTGTGTGGCCGGACTTCAGAGCGCACGGCGGCGGGCCCCGCAGTGGTTTGGCTTTACGCTGTGACGATCGTGGAGAGACTGCTGTATCCTGTCGGGGGCCGCAGCCGCTGAAGCGACAGCTCAGGCGCACGCGGAGGGTGCGGTCGGGTGCGAGGGGGCGCCCCAGGCAGCCTGGGCCGCCGCGGGGTCAGGGGTCGAGAGCCCCAGCGGGTGCACCCCCTTACTCTCAAGGTGCGGGACTCTGGGCGCCCCATCTGACCCACCTCCTGCACCCCCATCTCAGTGACAGTGTCTCCCGGCGACCGCCATCCTTGCTGTTCTGCATCTGGACGTGGCTGCTAGGGCGCGGCTCTGCGCCCGCCCAAAACCTGCGCGGGGACCGCTCGGCGCTCCACTGCCTGGCAGCGGCTTCACGGCCTAAGCAGCGTGCAGCCCGGCCCCCGCTGCAGCCAGCCTGCCAGCCACAGGTGTCCGGGACGGGCGAGGGCCGCCCTCCGTGTGGGGGTGTCGCCAGCCCCTGCCCCCGCTCACCTCACCGGCCTCCCCCAGGCAGGCCCGAGCTTCGTGTGCGCGGTGGCGCGGAGCTCAGACCAGGGGGGCGGGCGAGGAGGGGGTGGACTGGGAGCACCGGGGGTGGGGTGGGGGGGTGAGCGTTCACAAAAGTCTGGGGGCGCCCGGCAGCGGAGTGCGCAGGGCGGGCCCGGGGTGGCAGGGAGGGCGGGCGAGAGGGAAAGGAAAAGTAACAAAGCTACAGGTGCAGAGGCAGGAGGAAGGAGGGGAGAGGAGGAGGACGCAGCTCAGGGGGACACGGGCTGGGTCTCTGCCCACGCCAGCGGGTGGGAGCGGGTGGGGGACCGAGCACCCGGAGGGAGGGACGGGGCTTCCGGGAGAGGAAGCGCCGGGCGCCTCCCTGGGACGGAAGGGACAGAAGCAGCGGGCGCAGAGACTCGCACGTGCGGGAGGGGAGGGCGGGGGTCCTCTGGCGCCACCCGGCCGCCCCTCGCCCTGTGGGGGCACAGACGGGGTCCCGTCTGTGGCGAGGGGCCTGGGGAGGGAGTGGGCTCCAGGCGCGGAGGGGTGAACGTGGCCCCACGGGGACCGCACGGGCCCTGGGCAGGAGGGGGGCCTTCGGAGGGGCCCTGACACTCGGGGGTGCCCGCGCCGCCCCTGCACTCCCTGCGCAGTGACTCCCCGTCCCTCGGACTTGACGCCCCACTTGGCAAAGCACGTGGGTCCCTGCGGGCACCTCGCTGCTCTTGGGCGGGAGAGCCGTGACCCGCGAGCCCCGGTGTGTCTGCGCGAGCCGGGGCGGCCCTGAGCTTACCGGTACGTTGCAGCGTCCGGCGAGGGCGCGGCTGCCGGGACGGCGGGGTTGGCTGGGTGGGTGGCGGTGACGTGGACCCTGCCGGTGTACCCCGGGATGTTCGCGGAGCTGGAGGAGAGAATTGGGGGAGGGAGGGGAGAGAAGACGGGGAGACGATGCTCTGTGACCCGGTCGCGGTCACCCCCCGCGCACGGGGCCGGGGCGCGGATGCAGCGCAGCAGGCCCCGCCCCTCGCAGGCCCCGGGAGCCGCCGCCCGCCGGGAGGGCGGGGCAGGGAGCACGCGTGTGAGGGCGACGGCTCTCCGCCTCCAGGCCCTGTCTCCGCGTCACCCGAGTTTCTCCGTGGTCCACCTGTGCGGCCCCCCAGGACGGGGCGCAGAGCAGAGACCGCGTCCCGCTCGAGGCCCCGCCCCCGGCGCCACACGGGCGCGGGCTGTGCCTCCCACAGACGCTGCTCCCTCGTCCCCACCGGCGCGCCCCGCGCCCGGTTTCCCGGGCCTTCCCGGAGCTGCGCGAGCTCCAACGGGTGCGACCCTTACTCCTCCGCTTCCACACCCACGTCCCGCCAGCCGGGGGGGCCGGGAAACACAGCATGCACACGCGTGTTCCCGTGTGTGTAGGAAGTCCCCGGGTCTAAAGCCAAACACACACTCAGGAGAAACCGTCTGACACACCCCTCAGAGGAGCGGCGTGTCCCCCACACCTGAGCACACACCACGCCCTCCACGGCGAGCGTCCTGAGTGGGGGGGGGCAGGACCCTAGGACCAGACCCTGGGTGGACTGTGTCCTGAGTCTGCTTCAGGCGGGTGGCCTGGACCCCCGGAGCTGGGGACTGCGGGAGCTGTACTCCAAGGACACACTGCAGGCAGGTCGCAGGCTCGCCGCAGTGACACCTCGCCTTCCCGGCACCCGGGGCCCGGCGTCCTCTCCGCGCTAGGCCTCCGCCTCTGGGCCGGCCGTGGACGGACGCACGCCAGCAGCATCGACCCATCCGGAGCAAAGAACGGGGCCGGGGCAGGGTCCGCTTGCCCATGCAGTCAGTCACTCAGCGGCTGGGACCCCCAGCCCCGGGCCCTGCCTCTGAAAGCGGGACACCGACACCGCAGGTGTGGCTCTCGGTGACCCTAACTGAGCTACCCCCCCTCACAAACACGGGTGACACTCCGCTGGCGGGAGAAAGGTCTCGGCCCGTGTCACAAACCCCCGGAGCCCTTCCCGGTCTGGGTCACGTGCTGGGCTCAGCACCTGAGAGAGAAGCGCGTGCAGCTGACAAGCCACGTGTGTCCCTCCTGGCGGCGTTCAGACTCCACACGCGACGCCTCACGGGCCTGCAGGGACACCCTCGGGGCACCCGGGGCTGGGGGTGCGGGGCACAGATCCCGGGCAGGAGCAGGATGGATGAACGGGGCCAGTCGACGGGTCTCGGGAGACCGGGAAGGCAGGAAGCTGAGGGGCGGGGCCCCCACACGGGCAGCCGGCCCCACCCACGCCCGACTCAGCCCCGGAGCCAGGGTGGGGCCCCGCCCGGCGGGGAGCCCCTGGGCCTCGCAGCTGCCGGCAGTGGGGGGACGGCCCCAAGCTCTCGGGGGCACCCTGGAGCGAAGGGGACCCAGTGCAGGTGGCCCAGCTAGCACAGCTCTGCACTTCGGTGCTTGACCGACTTCAGCGGAGACCGCGAGTGTAAACCAGTGGGAGGTTTGCACGCAGGAGCCTGGGGGGTGGAGGAAGCAGAGGCGTCCAGTGCAGGCCGCCGGCCAGACGCCGGGACAGCGGTTCCCCAGCGCCGCTGTCCAGGGCTGGTGCCCAACTCCCGCCCCGGCCGCCCCGGGCCACTGGGGCCGTGTGGGCTGGAGGGGCTCTCCCGCGCTCCGCAGGCGGCCCGTAGGCACTGAGGGGGGGCGGCGGAAAGGCTGCCTGGGGCAGACACCTCAGGTCTGCCCGGTGAGCGGCGAGCGAGCGGCTCTGCCTGGATCTGAGACGCGCCCTTCGGGGTCCCCCGGAGCCTTCCTGAGGGGCGGCTGCGTGTCAGGAGGCTGGCGCCCACGGAGACGAGTGTTGTGCGCCTGTGTCTCCCCCTGAACACTCTCTGAAGCCTCCGCCCTGTCCCGGAGGAGCCCCTGCTCTGGGCGGCCGGTTCTTCTTGCCACCGCCCCGGCACCTGCCCAGCTCCGGGCCACGGCCACGGCCACCGCCACGGCCACAGCCGGCACCAGCAGCGGAGGAGACAGTGGGGGTGGGGCTCGGCGAGCCTCCCGTCTGTCTCGGGAAGGGCGGAGGGTGATGGGCGGAGGGTGACGCGCCGGCGCCGGGCTGTCGGAGGGAAGTGCTGTCACCACCGCACTCTCCGATTCTCACCGCACTCGGCGCCGCCCCGGGTCCCGGCCTCCCGCCCATGGGTTCCGCAGACGCGGGAGCTGAGGCTTCAGAGAGAGGCTCAGCAACAGGCCCAGAGCCGCCTCAGCTGGCGAGGGGCGGAGCGGACCCCTGGACGGGAAAGCCCACCTTGCAGGGCCAGCGCCTGGGCCCCCCAGCCGGGACTCCCGGCCGAGCCAGGGGAGCTCTGCCGGGCCAGGGGATGGGGGTCCCTCGGGCGCAGGTGCGCGTCCCGGCCGTCTCGCCGGGCTCTCGCGGGCAGCGGCCCCGGGCCAGGTGCGGGGCCGGGCAGAAGTCCGGCTGGGTGCCCGCCGCTCCCGCACCAGTAAGCCAGGTGTTCAGACAGACGCACATCCAGAGGCTTAACGAGCCCGAGGGGGGCAGAGACGCGGATGGAAAGGGGGCCGCGGGTGTGAGAGGGGCGCAGAGAGGGGTGCAGGGGCCGAGACGGGAGCGGATGGCGTTGAACCCCAGGGCTGCGCCTGCCAGCAGGTGACCTTGGCCAGGGAACCGAAGCTCAGAGCCCACCCACCCCCGTGGCTGCCGGGGCCCGTACAGTGGTGTCTGCGAGCAGAGCTGGTGGGGCGCAGGGTGGGGGGTGGGGAGAAAGTGGGAGCGGGGTGCTCAGAAGGTCAAGGCCGCGCCTGCAGGGAGGCCTGAGAGACCTGAGGGGACAGTGGGGGGAAAGGAGGGAGGGAGGGCCGGTGCTTCCACCGCTCCGTGAGACGCAGACAGCGCCACACAGGCCACCGGGCTGTACTTCTGCTATGTGCTGGGTCATTTCTGGGCCTCAGTACTCCCACTGGCACAGTACTCAGCACTCACTCAGTACTCAGTACTCCCACTGGCACAGTACTCAGCACTCAGTACTCGGTACTCCCCCTGGTGCAGTACTCAGTACTCGGTACTCCTACTGGTGCGGTACTCAGTACTTGACACTCAGCACTCCCACTGGCACAGTACTCAGGCTCACTCAGCACTCAGCACTCCCACTGGCACAGTACTCAGTACTCACTCGGTACTCCCACTGGTGCGGTACGCAGTACTCGACACTCAGCACTCCCACTGGCACAGTACTCAGGCTCACTCAGCACTCAGCACTCCCACTGGCAAAAGCAAATAAACACACACATCAAGGCGCCTCAGTGAGTCTGAGCCCAAGACTGTGGTCTCCTTGTGACAAACGGCCGTTCACTGAGGAAAAGCTGTCTGTCCCCTTCAGCGGTGCGCGGTGGCAGGCCACATTCCATCCCTTCATTTCCGATAAAACCCGTCACCGTGCTCCATCCTTAACGACCAAGTACGGGGGTCACAAGGAGCGGAACTCACCAGCTTGTGTTCGTGCGGAGGGTTCGGGAGCGCCGCGGCTCGGCCAGGGACGCGATGTCCCCACAGGGGTCGTCCACGGCGTCGGCGTCGGTGGACTGCACGTGGCCTCTGTCGGGTGAGGAGGACAGACGGCGTGGGCCTCTTCACGGGAAACACAGAGGAAGTCAACAGACAGTGTCCTGACCTCGGGAAAACCCGATTTGCCAGAATAGACCGACGTTTGAAAAGAGAAAAGGCGGAGCCACACACGACGGTGGCACAGTTTGCCTGAAAAGGAGCAGAGGGAGGAGGCCCTTCCTCTCTCCAGCAGGAGTCCTCGGGCCCCACGAGCCGAGTGTGGGCCTCGGGGGTGGGGGGGAGGGACGGCCGGTGCGTGTCTGCAGCAGAGGCAGCCGTCTCCACGGCCCGGGGACAGCCGGCACCGGACTCGGCAGGCGGCCCGGGGCCCGGGGGCGAGGCGGACACCGCCCTCCGCCAGAGCTAACGGGCTCCTGGGCAGACGGAGGTGCGCGGGCGCCTGGGCTCCTGGGCGACCAGCCACGGGCCTGGGGGCCTGAGAGAGAAGGCTGAGTCCCGGGGGTCGGAGACAGTCCCTGACGGACTGCAGGGGCCGCGGGCAGGAAGGTCAGCCAACTCAGCTGGAGAGCCCAACAGGCCACAGAGACGGGGGAGGGGCGCCGGCCAGCAGCCCCCACCCCTGCATCTCCTTGCATTTACTTTGCTCCCAGGTGCTGCGGCCTTATTGCTCATGTCCCCCCAGCCCCCACCCAGAGCTCCCAACTCAGAGGTCGTGGTAGCAGGAGGAGGTGGCGCTTCGGTCGGGAGGGGAGGGTGGAGCACTCCTGACGGGACCAGCGCTCTTTCGGACGCGACCCCAAGAGCTCCCTCACCGCTGCCACCACGCGGGGACCCAGCGAGAAATCTGGGACCCGGGAGTGGACCCTCGCCCGAGCACGCTGGCGCCCAGGCTGCAGAACCGTGAGGGGTACTGGTGCCTGGAGGCCACCCAGTCGGCGTGTCTGGTCACAGCCGCCCGGACAGACTGAAAGGGACCCCCAGCCCCTGCGCCCACCTGAAGCAGAGAGGCCGCAGCAGTGGGCCCGCACACCTGCGGCTCCCCGCCCCCGCCCCCACAGAGCCAGGTGCAGGTTCAGACGAGAACGAGGCTGCAGGTGCGGCGGCACCGTCAGCGACGCATCGTCTTCCCGGTCGGTCTCGCCCTGCGTTAGGGCCGCCCAAGGTATTCCATCCCCAGAGTAACCGGTTTGGCAAAGCATAAAAACGCCTCTCCCCCTTCCTTTATTCAAGCCTGTAACAAATCTGCCCCGGCTGGTGTGGCTCGGTGGACTGAGTGCCGACCTGTGAACCAAAGGGCCGCCGGTTCGATTCCCAGTCAGGGCACATGCCTGGGTTGCAGTCCAGGTCCCCAGTAGGGGGCGCTTGAGAGGCAGCCACACACTGATGTTTCTCTCCCCCTCTTCCTCCCTCCCTTCCCTGCTCTCCAAAAGTAAATGAAATCTCTTTTAAAAAATCTGTCACAGACCCGAGACAGAAGCGCGGACACTCAGTGCAAGCGCGCGCTGAGCTGGGAGCAGGCCAGGGCTCTGTGAGAACGCGGCGGCTGTCACGGGAAGTGCGAGCAGAGGGTGCAGGCGGAGCCCGGCGGCCTTAGAGCGGCGAGACGCCGTACTCACGTGTAGCACGGGACGTATCTGCTCCGGGAACTCGGGCTCACGCTTGAGAAAGAGAAAGCACAGGCACTGGAGTTACTGCGGCATTTCCCTCATTCAGACGAAACCAAGGCCTTCGCAGCCTCCCACAGGGGCCGGCCTCCCACGCTGCTGATCTGAGAGAGCAGGAACTTGGGGTGCAGCGTCCACTGCACCCCGAGCGGGGCAGAGGGGCTCCGAGCTCTCGGGGACGCGGGTCCCGCATGGATGCCCGCGGGCCGGGCCGGGCCCCACGCTCCCCCTGCGGGCGTCTCTGGCTGTCGGCTCGCCGCACGCTTCCCCGGAGGCCAGACGGGGCGGCCGGTGGTGGTGAGGACGAAGACAAGGGGGCTTCCAAGGGTGGAAATGCCGTTTTCCAGGCTGAACGGGAGAGGCACGTATGTGGAAGGGCGTCTAACAAAGTCACAGTTTTCAGCGCTCACGGAGCCCGGCGGAGCTACACAACACAGAGGCTGAGAGGAGGGGTGTATGGTCCCCCCAAGTTCACGCATGGTGCGCATTAGAGCCCCTCCTGTCTTTCTAGAGCACCCCAAATTTTTAAACGGTTGGGTGCCGAGCAGTCTGGACCCTGAGGGGGGCTGAGAGGCGAGGCGCAGAGGCAGCCACGGGCCAGCGCCCACTCTCGGGATGGCAAGGGAGCCACGGCGAGGGGTCCGGTGGGTGACGAGCGCATCAGGAGGCGACACTTACAAGTTCACTGGCTTGCCCGGTGCCGAGAGCGACCTCGTCTGGAACCTGTCCCAGAGTCCGCCGACCACCTGGAACCAGCGGGGCGGACACCAGAGACTCACCGGACGAGCCCCTGGCGCCTCCAGTCCCCGAGCCCACTCCCAGTCCGCACGGTCCGGCCCTTGTGGCTGCTGCCCTCTGCACCCCAGGGGCCAGCGCGCCCCAAGCGTCCTCGGCGGCTCCGGGCGCTGGCTCTGAGCGACTCACCTCTCGGACCCCCCACATCTCCGCTGTGTCCTCGGGGCTGTGTCTGCCTCACCCCCGCCTCCTGCTCCTCCTCCTCCTCCTCCAGGGGGAGCCCGGGTGAAGGCCCCACTTGGGTTCCCGCCCCAGAGGCTGTGCACCCTCGGGTCTCCCGCAGCCCCTGCCCCCTGCAGCCCCCTGCCCCCCAGCCGGTGCCTGCCCAGCCCGACTCGGAGCTTGGGGCCTCATCTCGCAGGGACGGAGTTCGGACACCAGCACAATGTAGCAACAGAGAATGCACAGGCAAACGACCAATTCTTGTGAGTTACCATTAACGCTTTCATGCAGTGGAGAGAGCCTTAAAAATGTATAAGCTGGACACTTCTGCTTTTGTCCCTCAACTGATTTTAATTCCTATGTGAAAAAATCCCATGAGACTACAGTAAAGCTGTTTTGCCTCTCTTAACACCACTCCTCTCTGTAAAAGCTGAAAAAAAGTTTCCAGATTAGGTGGGCTTCTCCATGCGCGGTTCCCGGACCCCCCTCCCCCCGGGGTCCGTGCTGAGGACTGGGTTTCACCGTGGGGGGTTCCGTTCCAGCCCCTCGGGCTTCGCGGCAGGAAAGGGCTCCCGTGCGCGGCGGCACCCCAGGGCCTGTAGGGCCTTTGGGTGGCGGGAAGGACGTGCGTGTCCCCACGGATCTGCAGGCACAGCGCAGTGGGATTTGGGGGGTCGGGAGTGGGGCCTGACCCCGGCCTGGAGGGCTGCCGAGGGCTGGCCTGGCGGCGCTGTTCTGCGTGGCGGGAGTAGCGGGTGGCGGGCGGGCTGGGGGGAGGGGGCGCAGGAGCAGAGGTGGCGCTGCTGCGGTGGCAGGGTCATGGGCACGTGCCCGGGGTGGGGGGGACAGGTCCACGTTACACGAGTGGGGCTCGGGCTCCTGGAGCATCGGGGAGGGGCCCCGGTGCAGGAGGCGGCCCTGGCTGCGGCGCGGACAGAGCCGTGCTGCGACGGAGCCCCACTGCCCAGGAGGGAGCCGCGCGGGCGCCGCCCCCCCGCCCACAGACTCGGGTGCGCCCTGTTCCCGGCCCCGCAGGGCTCGGGCTTCCAGGACGGACTCTCCCACCTGCCTGGACAAGCCCAGAGGCCAGCTCCCCATGCAGTCGCAGAGAGTGTCCTCCGCACACGGGTTCTCTGGGGAGCGGCCATCGCTTCCCCTGTCCTCCCTGCCCGTGCCTTCTCTTCCAGTTTTCTGAACCGACACAGTCGGTGCCAATGACTCCTCTTCTAAGATATTCGTGCGGATGTTACAAACCTGAGGTCACTGGTGACTTCATGGCACCTACTTTCAGTCCCACACAAGCGCGCGCGCACACACACACGTGGGTGCTTGTGCGTCCCACAGCGCCGCCACCGAAACAAGTCCCGCTGCCACCCAGCGTGTGGGCTGCCTCCAGCAGCCTGTTCCCTGCTGCCCGGGGCGGGGGCGGGGGGCGGGGCGGGGGGCGGCGTTCTCCGACCTGCGTGAGGGTGGGCGCCCTCTCGTATCTTTTCAGCGCGAAGCACTGTGCGACCGGGTCGGAGGCTTTCTCCACCGTCGTTTCTTCTGGACCGGGTCTCGGTGGCAGCATCTCGTCCCAGGGAACGACTTCGTAAGCCCTATGACATCATTAGACGGTGACAGTCCAGTCGGGGTAGCTCACCCCACCCCACGCACTGCGGCCGGCAGAGCTCAGAGGTGTCCCCCCAGGCTCCTGCCCCTGCTGCACGGGCCCTGGGGGTGGCCTCCCCTCAGGCGTGGGCACGGCACGTGGCCGAGAGAGGCTGTCACTCCCATGAGACTTTGCGTGGCCACTTCCTGTGACAGACGGGACTGTGCCCGTCTAACTAGGGTCCCTAGTCGATCGAATCCGGGTTCATCAACAGGCAGATGATTCTAAGTGGGTCCGATCTGAGCTGGTGACAGCAGGGGACACTCCTCAGCTGTCCTTGAGCAACCGCCATGACCTTGAGGAAGCTGCCTCAGCCTGAGAATCCCTGAGCCCTGGCCCCGCTGGGGCAGCCCAGACTCCCGAGCTGCAGAGCTGGGTGGTAACGAGCAGGTATGGCTTGAAGCCGCTAAAGGTGGCCCCCTGTCACACGCTGAAGGGGAACTAACGTGTGTATGAGTGTGCATCGTCCAGGTTCCAGACAGAGTTCAGTATGTCTCCGTGCTGGGACGCTTGCCTTGGTGCCCTCAGCCAGTGGTCCGGCCGTAGGCGCCTGTGTGCAAGCTGCGACACCCAGAAGCCTTTCTCTGGCGCGCACACCTCTCCCGAGCTCCAGAGCGACGCACCCACTGCCCGACTGGGCCACTGGACGTCCACCGGCCACCCCCATGCCCTGCACGTCCCAGACCGACTGCTGACCCTGCCCTCCGCCCCCGCCGAACCTGCCCTCACGGTGCTAAGGGGCGCTACGTCCCGCTGCACAGCCCACACCTGACTTCCCTGCCTTCGGACTTGTGACTGCCAGGCTGGGGATTGTGTTGGCTCTGCACACACCCAGAAGCCTCGTGCTGCCTGCCGCGTCCTGCGTCCTGCGTCCTGCCTCCTGCCCGCAGCCACGGCCACCACTGGCCGGGACAACAGCGCCTCTCCAGTGCTGTGTGGTCCCATCTCCTTCTCAGGGGTGAGCTGTGGCCTATGTTTGTCCTGAGGTGTCCTCCTCCTTGTAGCATTAGAGCCCTTCGAGGGGCGAGATCTTTGCTTTACTCGTGGGTGAATCTCACAGCCCAGGGCGGAGGCACACAGTGGGGTCACTGCATGTGTTTTGGCAGAGTCAACGAACCCCCTTCAGCTCTCTCTGCTCCTGTTTTCTGAGGCCGTGCTCACCCCGAGCTCTCTCTGAGCACCTCCCTTTTGGGTCCTACTCTTCCACGAAATGGGGTTCCCGCCAGCTCTTCCTTCTGCTCATGTTAGCGATCGACAAAAGGGACCCAATCGCTGTATCTACGTTCTCTGCATTCCTCATAAAGTTTGGGATAATGTACATACAAAGGGAACATGTCATTAAAGATAAAGGAATCACATTGTTAAATCAGAATTCTATTTGGAAAAATTCTTACTTTTGTGTAGAGGACTTATAAAAGCAGTCCTTTGCATTATACTTCTTGTTGGGTTGTGAAAGTGGTTCGCCGTCATCCTGGAAGTCACAAATAATAAAAGAGATCAGACATGCGGGGGGATTGGTGATGCTATCACTACCCACCAGGCTTTCTTCCTCCTCCTCCTTTCTCCGCTTTTCCAGCACCCTCTGGATCAACAGGTGCACGCTTCCTGCTTTCCTCTGTTGTCTCGTGAATTCACAATTTGTGTACATTATCCTAATGATTAAGTTAAAATTGACAGTACATACATTAAAGTCAATGGAAAGTCAGATTTTTTATGAGAAAGCTTCTGAATTTTAAATCTTGGCAGATAGTGTTTAGTTCCATGGAATTATAATATTTAAAAATTTTGACTTATTTAATAATACAAAGACACTAGTTTTGAGATATTACCTTCTTCCTACCTTTCAGCTCATTGTTATAAAAATAATTTAATTAAACATCATTACAAGCATTTCTGTTGCCATCTCTGATGGTTACTATTTATTTCGATTCCCACCACATTCCCGCCACTTTCTACCAATCCTTTGCCCACTTTTCTTCCCTGTATCCCCCTTGTTTTTTCCCCTTGGTTCTTGGTTCTATTTGGTCTTCACTAATGTTCAATTTCCAGTAATTCTTTCAAGGATGTACATTTCTGCTACTTCTATTTTTTACCCATCCTACCTTTGACCTGTGTCCTAGTTGTGTTTAGAAGTCTGGTTTGGTGGCTCTGGAGCTCCCGGAGCTTGGGCTGAGTGGCCGCGCTGACCCCGGGCCACGAGGAGCAGAACGGTCCGAGGGCCTTCTGTGTCCTCCACCCCCGCCCCCGGGCACACGCCCCCCCCACCCCGCAGCTTCAGTGTAAATTGCCCAGGACAGAGCACGGTTTTGTTCATCTGTTCTGAGACTCACGATGCTTCTCCGGTCTGAGAGTCCAGACCTCCGGGGTGGTGGCTGTCCGCCACGCCGGCTGTCCCTCCCGCTGCTGGAGGGGACACCTGCAGGAATGGGTCTGGGCCGGGCACTGCCAGCCTCTCCCACTCAGTCCCCCCCCCCCCGAAGTGCAGTTGAAGGGGCGGCACAAGGCAATGAAAACACGCAGTGATTGGGGTGGCGCATCAGACACGTCCTGGAAATCACGGCTGTCTGGCAAGGCTCAGAAGGGCAGAGGCACAGACCGTAGAGCCAACAGTCACACGTGCTGCCTTGCGCCACCCGGCGAGGACCTCCTACCGTGCACGTCGCTTCCTCGTCGAACGTGTGCGTGTGGTTTACTGAGCACGCTTCGTGCCGAGCCCGGGGAGGCGGGACTTTCCGTGGGCTCGTCCAACCTGAAACAGACGTGCACGTGCTTCTGCCAAACTGCAACAGATGCCGCTTCCTCCACCCGGAGTACCTCCTGCTGGAGAGCTACAGTGCGTGCTGCTGACTGACTTTTCTCATCAGGTTATCTGGCGATTTTTCTCCTCCGTGAGAACAGAAGAGCTCTGAAATGTATGTGTTAGCATTATCACAACAGCGCAGAGTTATTACTTATTACTTGCTGGGAATTCAGAAACTGAGACAAATTAAGACGAAAACACAAAACACAACAAAGGTCGCGGATACAGCCGAGGCAGTGCTAAGGGAAACGCTTACAGACCCGAGTCCTCACATTAAAGAAGAAGAAAGAGCTCGAGTCAACGGCCTAAATTTGCACCTGATGGAGCTATGAAAAGAACGAACTAAACCCAAAGCTAGCAGAAGAAAGGAAATAATAAAGATTAGAGCAGAGATACAAAGTAGAAAATAGAAAACTAGGGGAAATCAATGAAAGCAAGAGTCGGTTCTTTGAGAAGATCAACAAAGTTGACAATTCGCTGGATTGACTCAGAGAACAAGAAGACTCACATAAGTACAATCACACATGGGAGAGAAAAGAAAACATTACACTGATTTTATAAAACCAAAATAACTTTAAGAGATTCCTATGAATAATTGTACACCAACAAATTATGTAACCCAGATGAAACGGACAAATTACTAGAATCACACAAAGGCCCAGAGTGAATCACTAAGAGACAGAAACCATGAGCAGACCCATAAATACAAAGGAAATTGAACCAGTAACCAACAGCCTACCTAGACAAAAAACAAAAAAAAACAAAAAAAAACAAAAAACACTTCTAGACCAGGTGGCTTCGCTGGTGAATTCTACAAAACATTTAAGAACCGACACCAACCCTCCTCCCTCTGTTTTTGAAAACCTAACGAGGAGAGAACGCTTCCAGGCCCACTCACTGTGCAGCCCACATCACACCCACACGGAAGCCGACGCGACCCCTAATAAACGCCGGGGCACAACTCCTCCACAGAACACGGGGGACAGGGGTCTGGAGCACCCCGAGGGGACTGCCCACCCTGGTCAGTGGGCTTCACTCCTGAACTCGAGACTCGGAACTGCACGAGGACGGTGGGCCTGTGAAACTTGTGCACCTGCTGTGCCAGTCGGGGTGGGGGTGGCCCCTCAGAAAGTCAGACCCAGAGTCACCGCGGGGCTGGGCGCGCCCACTGCTGGGCGCACATCTGAAGAGATGAAAGCAGGGGCTCAGAGAGATATGTGTGCACCTGTGCTCACGGCACCAGTCACGACAGCCAACGGGCGAGGCAACCCGGGTGTCCGCTGACGGATGAACAGTTTAAAAATGTAGTGTATGCCTGATGCGGAAAATCATTCTGCTTTAAAAAGAAATTCTGACACATGCTAAGACATGGACATTGTAGTGAAATACCCCGGTCACAGAAAGACAGATGCGATATGACTTTACTTATATGAAGTGTCCGGAGTGGTCGCATTCACTGAGACGGAAAGCAAAGCTGGCCTCCAGGGGCTGCAGGAGGCAGGGCCGGGCAGTGAGGGCTTGCTGGGCACAGAGTTGCGGGTTTGCGAGGCCAAGAAAGCCGTGGCGCTGGGCTGGGTGGCACCAGGCTGGGTGGCGGCTGCACGATGCTTGAGACGGTTCAGGTGGTTGTTGGGAAGTGAGTGTTTCTGCACCCCCAAACCCACGTGCTGACCGACGTCCTCCCCCAGACGTGATGGTGTTTGGACCTGGGCCTTTGGGGGCATTTAGGACACGAGGGTGGGAGGGATCAGCGTCTTTCTGGGCAGAGGAAGGGGGCCAGAGCGCTGCCTTCCCTGTGAGGGAGGACACGGGCAGCCCTCTGCAAGCCGGAAGGAGGGCCCTCAGCGGGGCCAGCACCAGCCGGCACCTTGACCTTGGGCTCCTCAGCCTTCAGAGCTGAGAGAGACAGGGGTCTGCTGTCTGAGCCGCCCAGGCTCTGGGACACTGTTCCAGCGGCTCTGGCCCCGACAGCGACCTCAGAAAGGCAGGAGGCACAGGAAGAGCTACCGATGTTGACATTAGGCAGGGAATGCAGGCAGGGCAATCGGGGGTTGCGCCGGGCAAGCTCCTCTTCTCCGTGGACGAGGACGACTGTGTGGTCTTGCTGCAACGGGAGGCAGGGAGACCAACCAGCAAAGGATTTGCGTATAATTAGAATAACTTTGGAACGTTTGATGGGTGCACGAGGAAGACAGCCAACTCTGAACAAAAAAGGAAATACTGCACCCAGCTAAAAGTCTAGACAGGGTCAGAACTGGGCAAGTCAGCAGTCTACGTTGTTATGATTGGGCTTTGGTATCTATGAAAGCACGCTGGGCTGCGATACAATTAATTCTCAGAAGATGTACCTTCTTGTCAGTATGTATTGGCAACCCTGTGTATTTAGGTTTGCTAAAAAACTGAGTACTTATGTATAATTAATGACTATTTCCAGGATCTACAAAGTCATTGAAAGCCTAGGACAGGTTATATTGAGACCAGTCCCCAAACTCCTGGTGTTACTCTTTGGAAATGTTAATAGCTAATAATAACAAGTACTATTAAATGCATGCTTTGACATGTTCCAGAAATTCTGCTAAGTATTTGGTATTTTAAATTCACTACTTCTTACAACTTTACAAGAAAAATACTATTATTGCCAATTTAAGTAAAAAGGGACGGAAAATTCTAGACTTTGCTGGACTTTATAATATCTAGCACTTACTGGTGTGTTCCTTCATGTCAGATACTTTTACGTGAACTACACTCAGTGGCCATCACTGGAATCTCATGAAGTGTTGCGAGCTCGGGAACGGATTTCACAGACAAGGACGCACAGGCAGAAGGAGATCAGCGATGACCCCGAGGCCGTGGTGAAAGCCAGCCTCTCGCCTGGGCCAGAGCTGGGGCAGCCGGACCCTCCGGCCTCTCCTCTGCATTCCGTGGCGCAGGCGCAGGGAGTGCCACGTGCAGGCCAGGCCAGCTCTCGGCTTGGTTCTGCATTGCGGGCGCAACCGCTGTTAACCTTCTTTTAGTCAGAAATTAGCTTTAATAAACTATTTCTTCAACGCGTAATTTGTTGGAATATAGCTCTTAGAAAAGCTTACAGAAACAGCCCAACACTGGGCCGGGGCTTCCTGCTTACGAGTAGAGTGGCGTGGCTGCCTTACGGGGGACGACCGTGGACAACGAACCTGGTTCCTCTGAGGAAGTGCCCTTGACAATGAACACTGTTACGAGGTGGAGCGTGAACCAGTGGCGGACTCGACTCCTCTGCCCACAGGTGAGAACAGCAGTCGCCAGTTCGGAGCCCGTGGGGTGGGGTGTGCTGCGAGAGGCGGGCCGGAACGCGCCAGCGGTCCCCCCGGTGCAAGTACTTACAGCACTCTTTACACCTTAGGTGGTGCTTGTCCTTTGTAGACGGAAGTGCATCTCACTCTTAGTAACACCGTCTTTCCCTACACAGTATTTCCAGTGGATTGTAAAACCATGATTTTCTAAACTCGACCGTTGAACATTATTTATAAGCTTCGCATGAAAAGTCCAAACAGAAATGCTCCCGAGCCCCTGCCAGCTGGAGTGCACAAGAAGCATAACTCCCTCCCTGTGCTTATGTCTCTGCAAACTGCTCTTTCTGGTTCGGACGTGGGCACCCAGAGGCCGGGGCTGTGGAAGGTGGCACTGTGGGGTCATTCATCTCTGTTGCCCCTACCTGTCTTCTTACCCCTTTCCCATCTCTGCTGCCTGTGGCTCTCTCCACGCGGCGGCAGGACCCGTGACTCCCCACACTGCTCCACTACACGCTGGTGCCACTGTCCCGCCCCACATGGTCCGCGTGGGCCTCTGGTCCACGGCCCGGCGCTGACGGGGAGCAGCGTGAGGCTGGTGCAACCTCTGACGCCAGCTCGGCATCTTCTGATGCAGCCCTCGCCGCACACTCAGGGGCGTTAACCGCTGTGTGCTCCCTGTCTGCCGGACACACTTCCGCCCAGGGCCGTTCCGTTCGGAGGTGTGCCTCAGGGCCTCCGGGCCAGGCCCGTGGCGCTCTCTGGGGGCACCTCCAGGAGGGTCGCAGGGCACGGCGGTCGGCAGGGCTCGTCCACTGCGCCTCCAGGGCTGGGCACAGCTGCTTCTGCGGGGGTTGCTTCTCCTCCACTCCTGCTCTTACCGGACCCCCAGATTTACTTTCAGTGACGTTCCCATCTCATTCCAGCCCCTGGAAACACTTGTGTAACCGTCAGATTATTCTTTCGAGGGAGGGATAAGGAGGGGAGGCATGCTACATATTCATCAACGTCAAATATAATTTGCCTTGTGGTGAAATTGGGTTATCTCCATGTCTAGAATAAATTATCTAACATATACTTTGTGTTGGTCAATTATACTAATAAATGGGCTTTTAAAAGCCAAATCTTATTTTACAGATAGGATAATAAAAAAGCTTATCATGTTTACTACTGTTTCCTTAAGGTCGGTAATTCAAAACTGAGATTTTCTTATTCCGTTCTTTACAACTTGATGTTAAATCAAATGCTAAATAGTGAATCTCACACCCGTGCTCTTCTCCCTTGTCTCAATGTTTAAAAATGATAAACCCTGTGTCCCTTTGTTTACCTCCGAGTCTCGCTCTGATGGCAATGTCTGGTGTTGCCCTGGAATTCCATTTCCTGTCTTGTTTCAGTTCTTCCAAGAAAAGCGTTTGCCTCTTCAGCGCCGTTTGCTGTCCCGCGCCTGGCCTGGGGACTCGCTCTTGGGGCTTCACGTCCCTGAAGTCCGCCAGGCTTGGTATGGCTCTGCCAACGCCAGGCTTTAAGTCGGCATCAGCCCCGGGGCTCAGAAACCCCGAGCAGGGGTCCCCTAGGGGCACGTCGTCGCGCAGCGGAAACAATGGGAAACCTGCCCCACGCGGTGGGGGGTAAGGGTGGTGTAAGTGGTAGTTTGGCACGCCCGAAGCGGGATACGGGTGAAATTTAAGGAAAGCGGGGTTGCCTTTCTTTTCCATCCTGCCAAAGTCGTGTCTGTCCTCCACCCCTTTCACAATGGGCATGTTCATTTTCCTTAAGAGGTTGTAGTAATGTGGGTAATCTACGTTCTCGACAGGGTTTATTCTGGAAAGGATGGACTGTTCAGAGATACTTATCTTTCCAGGGGTGTGCTGTGAGTGCATATGCATGGCCTCTCTCTCCTTCAGAATTTCGGATGACTATAAATCGTCTCTGACGACGCTTTTCTCTGTAACCACAAGACGTACACTTCCGGTAGTTGAGAGTTGGTTAACTTATCATAATACTATTGACTTGACTTTCTAAATATTTACACAGTAGGGTTTCCTTTCTCTTTTAGAGGTGAGAATTGTTTTCCTGACCAAAAGCCATATAGGGCAGCAAGAGACCAGGACAGCGCCCTTGCTGCTTAGTAACAGCTAGAACTGGAACGCACTGGATCGCCCATTTCTCCCTACTAAAGGTGACAATGCACACTGTCATTAGGCATTGTGTCGTCACAGTCGCTGGAACCTCCATTCTTCGATGTGTTTGCACCACCTGGGTGAGAGGTGTTTCTGTCGCGGGTGTGCCCCCGCTAAGTAAACCCTCCCGGCTGCAGAAAAGCAGACACACGATTCTCTTGAACACGTTCATGCCACAAAGACCCTCGCAGGCTGATAGAAGGTTTTATCGATTTTTCTGAACTTGGGTGATAAAAGCCCAACTTGCAGGCTGCGTGTGGCATGAAGATCGATTGCGTGTCGAGTGGCTTCCTCTGCCCTTCCCACTCAGCGTCTCCCCGGCGCTCAAGCCCTCCCCGGCGAGCCCAGCGGTGTGTGCACAGCCCCCTCCCCCCGCCGGAAGCCCCACACGTCTGCCAGGACCTAATGGCTGCCCTTGGGAGACCGAGGCAACCCTCGGAGGGCTGCGGTCTACTGCCTCTCTCAGTGCACACCGTCCGTCGTGCGGGGCTGGCCCCCAGGCCGAGACTCAGTCCCCCCCCAGCTAATGAAAGCGCCTTCTCTGAGCGCGTGGAAAGGCAAAGGCGCGGGCTGCTGGACCCGCGGCTGCTTTCTAAGTTCCAGAACCTTCGACGGGTCGCCCTTGCCCCTAAGAGTCCCTGAGCGGAGGCGTGGCCCCGAAGGCCCAGGCGCGTCCGGCAGGGTGGGGTGACACCGCCGTTCTTCGGCGACCTCAACGGGCCTCGGCCCGGCGGCCATATTGGCCCGGCCCCGCCCCCACCGGCGGAAACAGAGGTTCACTCTTCCGGCCGCCATTCCGGTCCGCCGCCCGCCAACTTCCGGTGCGGGGTGGGCGCGCGCTGGGTAACGACGAGCGGCACCGACGGTCGGCAGGTGGCGGGCGGCGGCGTGTGGATGGAGGCCTCGGCCCCCGGCCGGGCGCGGCGGGGCAGGCGGCAGGCCCGGGCCGCGGGCTTCCCGCTCTTCCGGGCCGCGGTCCTCCTGCTTTGTGCCTTCGCAGCGCAGGCGCCCCCGGCAGGTGAGGCCTCCGCGCCGCCGCTGGCCGGCCTGGGCGTGGCCCCGGACGTGGGCGTTTGTGTCACGTGCCCCGGGGACCTCCAGCAGCGCCTTCCCGGCCGGCACCCGGCAGGAGTCCTAGGGAGGAACCCACCTGCCGCGGGAGCGCAGGACGGGGACGTTAATGCCGTGTGCACACTCACGTTTCCCGGCGGGGTCGGCTGTTACTACGCGCCCGGAGCGGTGGGGGCGGCCTCGCCAGCGCCACCTGCGCCCGGCTGGTGCTCAGTCGGCTCCCGCAGCAGCCGGCCGCCCGACGCGCGGCTGTCCGCGGTGCTGCAGCGCCACCTGTTGGTGGTAGCAGTGAAGGCAGGGAACGCTGGGTTTTCAGTTTTGACATCTTGCTGCCCGCCCCCACCCCCGTTTGTTTCCTCCCTTGTAGCCACTCAACCGAAACCCTTTTCCATCCTGTTTTCAAATTCCGTCTGAGATGCTGATGAACAAACACGGAAGTGAGAGTTGACTTGAACTGTTGTCGTGTAACTAGACAGGGTTCGGCTGCGCTTTTTGTGTGTGTTCACATTTTTAGACTTAAAAAAAAATAAAGTATCTCCGAGACTTTAATGATAAAAAGCACGAAAGTGATTTGTTTAAAATGCTGAAAGCTGTTCAATAAGGGAGAATGGGAAAGGAAGTCCTCCCAAGAACAGGAACGTGGAAGGGCTGCTGAGACGGGCGCGGGGAAAGGAGGAGGAGGGAAAGGCGTGGAGTGCAGGTTGCAGGAGGAAACAAAGCCAGGCGTCTGGGCTGCAGAGGTCAGGCTTGCGGCAAATCGCGTTACCCTCCAGGGAACGGCTGCTTCTCCAGCCTAGCCCAAGGTCCTGTGCTAGATAACGGCAGGGCGCGCATGCCCTCTTTTGGGCCAATAAGAACATCAGACTTAAGGCAATACTGTAACCTGGACCCTGAAGAATGAAGACCGATATTAATACATTCTACAGTTGATGTAATATTTCATTCAATTCCTGCAACAGCCCCGTAAATATGGAATTTAGTCTCCTTTTGCAGATGAGGAAACTGAAGGATTTAAATTCAGGTCTTTTGACTTTGAATGCCATACCCTTTTTGCTCTATTCCCTCTCTATTCAAGGATTTGGGTGATGCTTAATAGCATTTTTTTAATGCTGCTCCTCCCATTGGTTCTGTGCACACTATTTCCATCACACTTGCCCATTCAACAGTGACGGGAGAATAGCAGATTGTATCGTATTTAACAATCATTATGTGGTATTTACTGTGTGCAAGATTCAGTGCTGGGTACTCATTCTTGATGGGCTGGCACAAACACCATTCCTCGTGGAAATGGAGCTTTTAACCTAATGAGGAAGATTATACACATGTACAGAGAGCTGTGACACAGCGTGGAGTGGGTGTCACAGGAGAGGTGCTGGTGATGGGCTGGGCAAGGTCAGAAATGAGGTTGGCCAACAAAGGGTTCGAGGGAGGAGGGGACAGCACATGATCTGCATCCGGAAGGAGGCTTGGACTTTTACAAGGGAAGAGAGTATTCTAAGTGAGCGTAGAAGCTGGAGGGAAGAGGTAACAGGGGCAGCGGGGGAGAGATGGACTTCAGTGGCAGGGTAGGGGCAATGGGGCTGGAACGGGGACCCGCCAGTGTCGGGGGACACGGACTAGTGGCTCACCCCTCCCGCCGAGATCGAGTGTACTGTGGTGCTGTGCTATTGGAATGTCTTGGGGTTTCTCCCAAGGCAGATCGTTGCTCATTTCTTTTTGTGTTTTTGATAGTTGGGCAGCTGATTCGACTACCAAGAGGTTTTCACTTGTCCAAAGATGTGCTGAAAATAGTGGGATCACCAAACTCTCCAGGTATCGATACATTTCCTGTAATTTTCAGAAAATAGCTAGCACTGATTTAAGTTTCGTCAGCCTTGTCCACAAGTCTGCTATTCCTCAGCTGTCACCATCTCCTGTGGCCTCTTCCTGCTACGACCGTGGATTAAAGTTGTTTCCATACAGTTAGATCAATCCAAATCCAGTTCTGTAACTGCGTTAAGTGTGCCGAAATAGTTATTCCTAAAAGTTATGTAATTAGAGTTGCCTATAGTGTTTTCTTGTTATTATATAATAATTACCATATTATTAAATGTATACAGTTCAAATATACTAGAAGTTTTTTTCAAGTGAGATCTATATATCATAAAGATTTTGGATTCATAAGATTGTGCAGTAGTCATGAGGCATAGGAAGTAATAATTTTTTGAATATTTTCTTAATCAGGTAAATTCACGTGTCTTAAAATCCCTCCTTTAAAGCTTACAGTCCAGTAGTTTTTAGTATACTAATAAGTTTGTGCAACCACCAACTCTATGTAATTTACATTTCATCATTCCATCCAGAAGTGCCGTATCCATTAAGCGATCATACTATAGCCCCTGGAAACCACTGATCTGTTTCCCGTTTCTACGAACTTGCTTATTCTGGACGCTTCCTACAGGTGGAATGGCACGTGGGTGGCATTTGGTGTCGGGCTCCCGTCACTTCGCACAGTGTTTTCCGGGCTTGTTCACGTTACGGAATGTGTCGGTGCTTCACGTCTTCTCGCAGCTGACCAGTACTCCGTCGTGTGGGTGTGCCACTTGTGTGCGCCCGCCCATCAACGTTGGTGGGCGTTTGGGGCAGCTCCCACTCGCCGGCTGTTGTAAGGGACGCTGTGGCGAGCATCGCTGGACGGGTGTCTCTGTGCGCACACACTTCCGATCTGCTCAGTCCGTGCGCAGGGGACCCTCACTGTGGTGTTTTTGGTTTTCATTTCCCTGACGAGTAACGGCGTCGGACCTCTTGTCCTGTGTTCACGAGCCATTCGCACGCCTTCGTGTGGACACGCCCATTGGAGTTCCGCACCCATTTTTAAACTGGGTTGGTGTTTCCATTATTGAGTTGGGAGGGTTTTTTTTCATACACTCTGGGTACTGCACTCGTACCAGATATTGGGCTTGAAAACACTGTCTCCATTTTGTGGACTGTGCTTTCATTTTTAAATTGTGTTCCTTAAAGCACATGTTTTCAACTTCGATGAAGTCTGATTTCCTTTTTCAACTTGGTGCTGGCACTGTGGGTGTTGTGCCTTCAAAACAACCGCATGATCGGCACTCACAAGGTTTTAATCCTGTGTTTTTATAAGACTGTTGTAATTTAGCTCTCATGTTAGGTTTTAACCATTTAAAATTAATTTTGCATATGGCGTGAGGTAGGAGATCATGCTTTTTTCTTTTCTTTTCTTTTTGCATGCGGATATCCAGTTGTCCCAAAGCCACTTGTTCAAGAGGATTTTCATCCTCAAGACTCGAGGAGTTGTCTCGGTGCTCTTGTTGAAGAGCGGTTTCCCAGAGATGCACTTTTTTTTTTCTGGACTCTAAAGTCTGTTTCATTGACCTGTATGTCCACCCTTTGGCCAGTCTCCATTACTGCCGTTTTATACTAAGTTTTGAAATCGTTAAGGATGGTTCGTTGAAATTTGTCACTCTAAAGATTGCTCTGAGTATTCTGGGTCCTTTGAAATTCCATGTTAGTTCTAGCATTAACTGTCAGTTTATGCATAAGTCCGTTGGGGTTTAAATGTGGGTCACCTTAAAGACGCAGGTCGACTCTGGGACCCTCCCGTCTCAGCGCTCCTCAGTCTTCCCGTGCATGGACGTGGGTGTTCTCCACTTACTCTGGTGTTTAATTTCCCTCAGTGATGTTTTGTGGGTGTCCGTGTACAAGCCTTGCACTTCTCATGTTGAATTTATTCCTAAATATTTTACTTTTTTTGATGTTATTGAAAATGCAGTGGTTTTGTTGATCTGGTTTTTAGGCTGATCACTCCTATGACCTTGGAATACAGCTGAGCTCTGCAGACTAGTATTGTGTCCTGCCACCTCGCCGCCCCGCTGAACCCTTTATCAGCTTGTGTGTGTGTGTGTAAGGGGAGGAGGAGTTAATCTTTGGGGTTTTCTGTATGTGACAGCATGTCATTTGCAAACAGAGGTAGTTTTATTTCTTCCTGTCCAATCTGGATGTTTTTTCTGTGGCCAGTTGCTCCACGAGAAGCTCCTGCAGTTCAGTGTTGATGATAGGAGATACCTGAATCTCATCCCTGATCCCGGAGGGGGGAAAGGTTCCCGCCTTCACTAGTAACCATGATGGTAGCTGGGAGCGTTTGTAGAAGCCCTTTATCAGGTGGAAAAGGTCCCCTTCTGTCCCCGGTTTGTTAGCTGCCTGAGGCATCTTGTGAAAGGGCGCTGGGCTGTGTCAGATACTCTTTCTGCCTGTACTGAGATGGCCGTGGGGTTTCTCCTTTACTCTAGGGGTGTGATGTGGTATCACACGGAATGACTTTTGTGCTCTGAACTAGCCTCGCATTCCTGGGATAAGTAGCCGTTGATTTTGATGTATAACCCTTTTCCATGCTTCTGGGCGTGGCTGCTAACATTTGGAGGATTTTTATGTCTCTGTCCATGAGGGAGATTTGTCTGTTGTGTTACTGCGCTGCACCTGTGAAATGTCGGTCTCAGGGCCACGGTGGCTCTGTGGAATGACTTGGGACGTGTCCCCTCCTGCGGGATTTTTGGGAAGCGTGTGCGAGCTGTTGTGCATTAATTCTGCTTTACTTGTTTGGCAGAACTCACCAGTGAGTTCACCTGGGGTGGACTTTCCTTTGTGGGCAGTTTTCTGACCACCGATGCAAACAACGCCCTTGTTTCAGGTCTGTCCAGACGTCCTCTCTCATTACGGTCTCGGGCGGGAAGCAAGCTGCTAACTGCGCTGAGGGTCACACGTGTGTAACGCATTGCTTCCCTCGTGCTGTCTTCAGAATTCTGCCTTTGTTTTTGGACGCTGACCGCTAATTATGACGTGTCTGGGGGTGGGTCTCTGAGTTTATCGTCATTTGAGTTCATTAGCATCTTGGAAGGGTAGATTCATGGTTTTATAAAATCAATTTTGGGAAGATTTTGCCATCACTTCTCAAATATTTCTCTGTCCTCTCTTCTCCAGTTTTCAGTGGGACTTCCGTTTCGTATGCACTGCCTTGCCTGATGGTCCCCACGGGTCCGTGGGTGCTGCTCGTTTGCAGTTACTCTCTTGTCCCGCCTGTCAGATCGGATGGTCCCAGATGGGTTTACCCCCGAGTTTACTGTTCCTTTCACCCGCTCAGACCTGGTGTTGATTCTTTATGCTGAATTCGCCGGTTCAGTTATGCTTTGCAGCCCAGAATTTCTTTTGATTCTTTTAAATAATTCCTGTCTCTTTATTGGTAGCCTGTATTTGAAGAGGCACCATTTTCATACTTTATTCAGCAGATTAGGAATGATGTTCTTTGATCACATTTAAAATAGCTGATTTAAACTTCTTTGTGCAGTGAGTCCAAACTGTGGGCTTCTTCGGAGACAGTCTATCTTGGTTACTTTCTTTTCTTCCTGTCTGTGACGCTACTTTTGCACGCTTGGTATTTTTGGTTGAACACTGGGCTTTGTGAGTCAGGTAATGTAGCATCTCTGCAGACTCCCCTGCTCGGGTGGCGGTGTTGTCGCGCCTCCCTGTGGTGTTTGTCGGCAGCGTCTCCGTGCTCAGCTCGCTCGGCGGGGCTGGCGACTGCCGGGACCCCATCGGCCACCGGGAGCCGCCCGTCTCCCAGTCCCCGCGGAGGGCCCTTGAGCGCTCCTCCCAGCATCCCCGGAACTTTCAGCCGGGCCCTGACAGCCAGCCTTGCCTTTCCCTTTCTGCCGCGTGGAGCCTCAGCTTCGGCCGGAGGTGAGGGCTGGAGGTCTCTCGGTCTTCAGCGAGCATGCGTGTCTCGGTCACGCGTCCCACCCGTCCATGCGTGGGCGTGGGACTGCCTGTTTCCCCGGGGGCGTAGCAGAAGGTTAGAGTTCTCCTGGGTGTGCGCATCCCCTCGGCCCCCAGGGCTTTCTCATGCGTCAGGCAGGTACAGCCAGAGGACAGACAGCCTGCAGTGTCTGTGACCAGCAGCCTCGGAGAGAGCTTTGTACAGCGAGTGCGCCCCGAATGAGGTCAAGTGAAGTCATCCTCGTGAGCAGAATCTTCTAGGACACTGCCAGAAATGTCAGAAAAACAACAGCTCTCCAGGAGGGAGGCCCTGGAGACCCTGAAACCCACTGGCCCCCTCCCGGAGGCCATTGTCCCTGTGACTGTGGTGTGCGGCTTCTCGGGGCTCCTGCAGAGCTGGGGGTGGGGGGTGCCGTGAGTGAGGGGGCCTGCGCTCTCTGTCCTGGCCAGGCCCTCGCTTTCCAGGCCCACCGTGACAGAGCACCTGGGGGGCGGGGAGGGGGGAGCGACAGCAGACCTGGGCTGCCCCGCAGGTCTGGAGCTGGCCGTCCACGGTGGGGGGGGGGGGGGCAGCAGCGAGGGCCCCTGCTGAGGGCGGGGGGAGGGTCCGGTCCGGTCCTCCTCCTGGGCTGCACGCGGCAGTCCTCTCCCAGAGCCTCTTCCCCGGGTTTCCCTATGCACCCCGGTCTGTCCGCACCCCCCCGCATCAGGACCCCGTCCCGTGGGACCTGGTCGGCCCTCACAGCCCACTGGAACTCTATCCCTACTGTGGAGAGTCTGACTTCAAACAGGCTAGCCCTCTAGGGGACTGGGGTTGGGACTTCACCCTGCGACTCTGCACAGAGGCGTAACCCCCCCGTTACACCGGGGTGCACTTGTTTTCCTCGAGTACGTTTCTGCTGGGGTCTTGCAAGTCTGATGAACTTCCACAGTTACGGAAATGTTGGGTTCTAGCAATTGCTACCACTTTTCTCATTACCTTTAAAAGGAGATAATTTTTGGAGTTCTTTGTTTCATTGTTTTCACGGATATCACAACTTTCATTACAGCTTTTGTTTTAAAACTGTAACCTTAAACCTGAATTATAAAACACTTACGTAAAACTAATTTCCTGTTTCAATGCTTTTTTATTGGATATTATTTATTCATGAAAATGGATTAACATTTCAGTTCATCATGTATTCATGTATTTTTTATATCACCCAAGTATATTATTATATGATATTTCACTCATTTGCCTCCATAGCACCCTGACCGCCAGATTTTTTGGGGCCTAGAATTTCTGCGGCCGCTCCCGCCTCCCGAGGCGGCTCCAGCCTGTGTCTCCGGCAGCCTCTCTCTGCTCCGCCGTCTTCCCTTCAGGTGGTCACGCACCCTCCCTCTTTTCCTCCGGCTGGCCTTCCTGTTGATTCACTCACTCATCCATCCTTTCAGTAGCCATTCGTTTCCATCTTCGTGGCATCTGTAATTCGTTCCCTCTGGGGGGGGTGCGTGCGGTGCGTGCCGTGTTGTGAATGTCTTCCAGCGCCTGTCCCAAAGCGCCCTGGGTGTCTTGTGCCCGGCGGTGGGAGCTGGTCCTGGGCCCGGGCCGGGCAGTCTCGGCCTCACCGACATGGCCCTTCGGACGGCTGTGTCAGCAGGGCCTCCCCCCTCTGCCCCCCTTCCCCCTGGTGCTCACCCACACCCTCGCCAGCCCGAAATGTCACCCACAGTCTTCCATCTGCTGAGCTGGAATTGCTGTTGCCTCTGCAGCGTCCGTTTTCTTGCCGTTTTCAAAGGCGCTCTTTCCACACCGTTGCGTTTCGGTCGTCAACCCGTGAGGGGTGTTCTCTGTTGCAGGTAGCTGCAGATGGCACGTTGCTCTTGCTCTCCGCCCCAGATGCTCACGTGGCCTGTGTTGCGTGGGAGTGAACAGAAATCGTTACTATTCACCCACTTATCCGTGCTGCACTTCCGAAGACGAGAGGGCCTTAGTGGCTGATGCGAGCGGAACCAGGCAGCAGGGTCACACGGGCTGCCCCAGGGCTCACACAGTGAGCTGCAGGGTGGGCAGGGGGCCGGAGCCTCGGGCTGGGGAGCCACGCGAGGGGCGGGTTCGCACAGTCAGCGTTTGAGAAAGGAGTTGGGGAAGAGAGGGGTTGCTTAAGGCAGACAGGCAGTGAAGAAGTAACGGAAGGAACAAACGGGAGAGATCAGAGAAGAAAAGCAGGTGAGATGGCTGTCTTTGGAACAGTTAGTGGACAAGCTTGCTGAATGTTTCGTGAGAGAATAATGAAAGTAAAATGTATATTATGAGTACATAAAGGTAGTGAAATGTAAACATAGGAACTTAATATTCTGAATAATGTTATACTAGTAAACGTGAAATAAACAACTATAGTTAAATATAAATTTCTAAGTCAGACTTGACTCCATTACTTAGTTGATTAATAATTAAATTCTCCCGGTTGGTAATTAAAAGTTTGTTTTTCTACTTCTCCTTGCTAACTAAAACAAACAAGCACCAAGCTTTAGACTTTTTCTAGGACAGAAAACACTGCATATTGTTTTAGAGAAAATTTATAGAAGAAATATGTCCAGTTCATTTTGTGTGACTATTATAGCCTTAGACACCTACCTTCATCATCCTAAATGCTGAATGACAGTTTTGATACTGACATTGGAGATGTACAAAGGGTAGTATAAGGCAATCATATATAATATATATACCTATGTATTTTATGTGTGTGTGTGTGTATTCTAGGAAAACTGTTTGCACATTGAATCCGGCAGGTTTTAAGTAAAACAGCACGATGAGCTAGCATCATTTCAGAAAAGCAACCTAGTAATATCAAACATCCCATTAACATATTCAAGAAGAAAACAATTAAGTGATCACCTCAATCAATACAGAAAAAAACATTCCTTAGAATTTAACCTCAATTTTTGATTAAAAAGTGACCAAGAACAAAGGGAACCTTTGTTCACCAAAGGAAGGATGTCTGTCTAAAAGCTGCATTGTGTAAGCATTATGCTGAATGGTGAAAATGCGCAGTTTGCTTAATGTTAAGGGTTTTGATTCTCAGAAACAATTTTTGTGTTGCTGGGTCACAGCAATCTCCGTGTAGGCCGGAGCGGTGCAGAGGTGGCGGGCAGTTACCGAGAAGCTGCTGGAACCTTTTCTGAGAGCTTGTTTATGAGTAGATTCAGAGCAATTTAATTTTGCCGGTGTTCCTTGTGTGTCTGAAGGATATGATTTTTGCTTGTTTAATGATCAGGATCATTTAAGTTTTACAACAAAGTGGTAAGATGCTCAATAATGAAAATCAAAGTACACAGTTGTTGATGTTTTAATTACGCTGTAGTTTTTAATTCAGTACAGTGCGTTGCATCATTGTGAATAATGTACTGTTCCTTTAAACAAATTGACCCGTTTCTTTCATGTGGTATCTTAGCAAAAAGAAGATAACATACAGATGTAGAATTTTCTCACTACTTTGTAATTAGAATAATATTCTGAGACTAGAATAAACTAGTACACGTGAGCTCTTAATGAAAAGGCCAGTGCGTCCTGCTCTGACGGAGACCCACGCACACAAAGCGCGTGCGTGTCCTTTTGCTGCCCGTCCCCTGCAAGGCGGCGAGGCTGACCCTGGTCGCCTCGGGCGCCGCCCGCCTTGTGTTTCAGTGAAGGTCTACGTCATGCTCCACCAGAGGAGCCCCCACATCCTGTGCGTGACCCGGCGGCTGCGGAACTCCGAGCTGATAGACCCGCTGTTCCAGTGGCACGGGCCCGAGGGCAAGGTCATCTCAGGTAGGCGCGTCGCTGAGCTGGGCGCAGGGGAAGGGGGTGTCTGGGTCTCGGGCGCGGCGGCCCCCCCCCCCCGGAGCCCCGGCTGAGGCCGGGCAGACCCGGTGCGGCTGCCGTGGGCAGACTCCCGCTCGAGACGCGGGCGTGCGGGAGCGAGCGCGACGCGGGCTGCTGTCACACACCACACGGGGGCGCTGGGAGCCACGGCCGCGGAGCACGGCTGCGCGCGCGCGTGCCGCCCACACGGGGGCGCTGTGAGGCTTCGCAGGCGGCCGCAGCCCCGGCCCCGTGCCGGGTGTTTCCGTCCCACCCCGGTCCTGGCAGCGCGGGTGTTTGAGTTGAGCCCAAACATTGTCATCGACCTTGAGCGAAAGGACCAGGCGCCGGGTGGAACATTCCCACATCCAGACCGTGCTGTTAAACGTGCTGCGTGGGCGCACCGTGGCCGCGTGTTGCCGCGTGGCCCGGGCCGCGCTGCTGCCAGGGGTGCCAGACCCCGGGGCGTTCGCCCACAGGCGAAGGGGGACCCCGACCCCTGCCAACGGCGGGCTCGCGTCCCCGCGTTGCCGAGGAACCCGGCCCGTCCTCAGGAAGGCACCTCCTCCGCACAGGTGCCCCTCTTGGCGCGGCCGGCCCGCTCAGCATTTTCTGCGTTCCGCTTCTTGTTTGGCGATTTTGAAACGCATAATCTCATTTTATTCTAGCTTTTCATTTGCTACATGCGGGTTTGTTTTTGCAGTATAGTTCAAAACACACAGATGAGCTCGGCCTTGCTGAGAGTTCAGGTGCATGAATTTTCATCCTGAAGGTCTGTTCAGCGAAGCATCTGACCGTCTTCGCCCGCCTTCTGAGGGTGTTTTTCTGTGCTGTCCCTCCACCGTGCGTCCTGCCTTCGTTTTGAGCCCTCTCTGGCGTGCTGGGGGGTGCTCGAGGGTGGAAACCCACAGGTCTTTGTCGTCTCGGATGAAGGGGGAACTGGACTTGTGCAGAAGCTTGCCGGAGAAACATTACGGGAAGCACTCGTTTTCGTGTATGTTTTACTGTCTCACGCAGCTGACTGCTCTCAGCTGACCTGAAGGCCTGGCGTGTGCAAATGGTGGTGAGGTGCGTGCAAGCCCTGAGGCCGGTAGCCAAACCTCCGTGGCCAGGCTCCGCAGGTCAAGGTGTGCGGTCTCCAGGGCGGGGCCCCGGCAGGGAATGGTTCACCGAGTTCCCAGCCCTTCTGCCGGGGGAACGTCACCCTCAGCTCCCACACTGTCGTTCCCGCGTTTCCTCTGCGCACTTACCATGCGTGTGAAGGCACACGTACAAATATATGTGTGTGAGTGCATGTGCACCTTGCAAGAGTGTTTTTGGTATTTTTATTTTGAATCTGATAAAAAGGACCGGCACACTCCGTATTTGCCACGTGTCAGATTTAGTTCTAAGCGTCCCACACACTGACGGGCACACCTGGCCGCAGCCCCGTGTGGTGAGCACGGCCGTGTTCTCCATTCGCATGAGGGAAACAGCTGTGTGTGTGTGTGTGCAAGTGCGAGTGCACATCCCGAGTGCCCGGCTCAGTGCAAGGGGCACGCCCGAAACTGCTCCGGGTGTGGCTGCCGGCCTTCTGCGGGAGGGCCGTGGCGCAGGGGCAGAGCTGGGGTTCGAGACCCGCCAAGGTCAGCGGCCGCCGGCAGCAAACGCCAGGCGCTACCGCGCCGCTGTGTGCCCCCGACTCCGGCGACTGAGTCCGCAGATGAGTCGCGCCCGCTTCCCTCTGCAGAAACGAGTTGCTTTTCCTCCGTCTCCTGTGGCGGGAGGGACTGAGCACCCCCTGTCCCTCCGCAGAAAACAGCACCACGCACATCACGTCCACGGGCAGCCTGGTGTTCCAGGACTTCGAGGAGAGCATGACCGGCGTCTACACGTGCTTCCTGGAGTACAAGCCCACGGTGGAGGAGGTGGTCAAGAACCTCCAGCTCAAGTTCATCGTCTACGGTGAGCCGCGCCTCCAGGGCGCTCCGTGGCTTCCTGGTGTTGCTCTTTCCGGGCGGGGCGCGGTGTCGTCTCTGCTGTCCTGCAGCCGCAGGGAAGCCACTGCCCGCCCGCCCCCCTCACGGAGCGCCTGGGAAGGAGTCCCTGGGGAGGGCCGGCCCCTCCTCCAGAGGGCTGTGGCTTGCGCGGGCGCAGGGGCCGTGGAGTCGGCGAGGGCCGGGGACGCAGGGGTGGCGCGCGGTCTCACCGACCGGCTTCCCGCCGGCCGAGTGCGCAGCAGCTCCCCGGTTCGCGCGCCTGCGCCCTGGTCCCGTTGCGGGCCGCGGGGGCCGCCGCTGTGCGCGATGCGGGTGTGCGGTGGTCGTCTCCACCGCGGAGCGTCGGGGCTGCGCGGGCGCCAGGTGCGGGCGCTGTGCGGGGCTCGGTGCCGGCGTTTTGGTTCCTGGGGGCCGGGGGCGGGTCACGGGCCGGAGGTCTGCGGGCTCCGCTCCGCGAGGAGCTGCGGGGCCGGTACCCGGCAGGGCCGCGCCATTGCGCAGCCCCAGCAGCAGGCGCGGGCGCGTCCCTGGGTCCGCGCCCGCGACCGGGGCGTCGCCGTCTTCGATTTCAGCCGTTCCGGGAAGCGTGAAGTGACACTTCGTTACGGTTTCCCTTTGCATCCGCCCCGCGTCTCTGGGCTGGGACGTGTTTTATGAGCGTGTCTGCCCTCCGGTCGTCCTCGTTGGCGACACGTCTCCGGTTCTTTTCCTGTTTTCCGATGGGTTGTTGGGTGTATTGCTGTTGAGTTTTTCAGAGTTTCCTTTAAAACTCTTTCTAGATACTGTTCTTTTACTGATGGTTGTTTTCAAATATTTCTTTTAGACTGTATCTTGTCCATTGTACTTTAATGGGATCTTTCCCCCCAAAACGGAGCATATCCGGAATACTTTTCTTGTTTTAAATATATCCTGTCGATTATGCTGCTACGGCTGTCCCGTTTCCCCCCTTTATTCCCCTCAGCCCTGCTCCCCCTCTCGCACCCACAAACTCCCCCACCCACTTAGTTCACATCCATGGGTGGTCTATACCATTCTTTGGCTTCCCCATTTCCCACACTATTCTTACCCTCCCCCTGTCTATTTTGTACCTACCACTTATGCTTCTTATTCCCTGTGCCTTTCTCCCCCTCTCTCCTCTCTCTGTCGCTGCTGATAACCCTCCATGTGATCTCGTTTCTGTGACTCTGTCCCTGTTCTGGTTGTTTGCTTAGTTTTTGTTTTTGTTTTTGTTTTTTCTAGGTTCGGTTGTTAATAGTTGTGAGTTTGTTGTCATTTTACTGTTCATAGTTTTGGTCTTCTTCTATTTCTTAGATAAATCCCTTTAACGTTTCATAAAATAAGGGCTTAGTGATGATGAACTCCTTTAACTTGGCCTTATCTGAGAAGCACTTTATCTGCCCTTCCATTCTAAATGATAGCTTTGCTGGATAGAGCAATCTGGGATGTAGGTCCTTGTCTTTCGTGACTTGGAATACCTCTTTCCAGCCCCTTCTTGCCTGCAAGGTCTCTTTTGAGAAATCAGCTGATAGCCTTAGGGGAGCTCCTTTGTAGGTAACTGTCTCCTTTCCTCTCGTTGCTTTTAAGTTTCTCTCCTTATCTTTAATCTTGGGTAATGTAATCATGATGTGCCTTGGTGTGTTCCTCCTTGGGTCCAACTTCTTTGGGACTCTCTGAGCTTCCTGGACTTCCTGGAAGTCTATTTCCTTTGCCAGATTGGAAAAAGTCTCCTTCATTATGTTTTCAAATAAGTTTTCAGTTTCTTGCTCTTCCTCCTCTCCTTCCAGCACCCCTATGATATGGGTATTGAAACATTTAAAGATGTCCTGGAGGTTCCTAAGCCTCTCCTCACTTTTTAAAATTCTTTCTTCGTTCTGTCCTGGTTGAATGTTTATTTCTTCCTTCTGGTCCAAACCATTGATTTGAGTTCCAGCTTTCTTCCCTTCACTGTTGGTCCCCTGTATATTTTCCTTTATTTTACTTTTCATAGCCTTCACTTTTTCCTCTATTTTTCAACCACACTCAGACATTTCTGTGAGCATCCTGATTACCGGTGTTTTGAACTCTGCATCTGATAGGTTGGCTGTCTCTTGGTCACTTAGTTGTATTTTTTCTGGAGCTTTGATCTGCTCTTTCATTTGGGCCATGATTGTTGTCTGATTGCTCTACTCTCCGAGGCTCTTAGTCACTTCTCCCACTTCCCACAAGCAAACTGGGCCCCTCTGGTGCTGACTCCCAGGCGGGTACGTTTGTGTGTGTTCTAGGAGCAGGTGGGTCTCTCCAGTGAACTGTCCTGCGAGGCTGGGAGTGTCTCCTGCCACTGAAACCCCACAGGTGTTCTCACTCAGAGGCTTTGAGGCTGGAGTGAGAACTGTGCTGGAGCCCTGGGTTGCACGGTCTGTCTCGCTCCCCAGTTGTTCCTCCTGGTTTATCTGCACAGGAATGTGGGGCAGCCCGCTCTGCCAGCCACTGCCTTGCCCACCCTGGTCCTCCAGCCACCGCCTTGCTGTGAGTCCTCTCTGCCCAGCTGCCCATCTCCACCCCTCTTACAGGTCTGGATAAATGTTTCTTCTTTAACTCCTTGGTGGTTGGACTTTCAAAGAGTTTGATTTTCTGGCAGTTCTGGTTGTTTTTTTTGTTTTTAAATTTGTTGCTGTTCTCCTTTTGGTTTGTGAGGAGGCACAACGTACCTACCTATGCCTCTATCTTGGCCGTTAGTCCTGCTTTTCTTAATTTTAATTTTTTTTGCCTTTGACTCCCTTTATCCCAAGCCCAGCCTCTGCCTCTGGCAATCAGCAATCCACAGTCCGTTCTCTGTGTCTATGAGCTCGTTTTGTTTTGTTTTTTTAGGTTTTACATGAGGTGTCACTTGGCATTTGTCTTTCTCTGTTTGACTCACGTCACTTGCATAATGTCCTCAAGGTCCATCCCTGTTGTTGAAAGTGGAAACGTGTTATTCTTCTTTATATTCCATCTCACACGTATCACTGCAGTTTCCTTAGCCACTCGTGTCTCGGCAGACACTCCGTTGGTCTCCCCATTTTGTCTTCGGCGAATAGTGCTGCCGTGAACATGGGGGTGCACTCATCTGTCCGAGTTAGAACTTTTTACAAGTTCTTTATTGCTTCCTACATTAGTTTTCTTGTAGTTTACTCTGCCCTTGTCTTGTTATTTTTTTTTCTCTTTACTGATATGGGTTTACCCAAAGTTGGGGTGAGACGGTCTGTGATTTTCAGTTATGTTTTTGTTTTCTTCAAATAGTCACCCAGAGCGGGATTGCTGGATCCTACGATAGTTCCATTTTTGGTTTTTTTAAGAGAACCTCTCCACGGTTTTCCACAGCGGCTGCGCCAACACACATCCTACCAACAGTGCACGAGGGCCCCCCCCACACACACACATGCTACCACTTGCTGTTTCTCGTCCTTCTGATGCTGGTTATTCTCATTGGAACCGCATTCTGATGGCGCGAGGTGATACCTCGCTGTTTTGATTTGTGTCCCCTGAGGCTGAGGGACGCTGAGCACCTTGTCATGTGCCTGTGGCTGTGTTTGTGTCTCCTTCAGAAAGATGTCCATTCACATTTTCTACCAACTTTTTAAATTGGGTCTTTGGTTTTGTGCTGTTGAGTTATGTGAGTTCTTTACATATTTTTTATGTTAATCCTTTAGAGGGTACACGATTTGTGAATATTTTCTCCCACTTGGGAGGTTGCCTTTTCATTTCGTTGATGGTTTGCTTTGTTGTGCAGAACGTTTTCAGTTGGATGTGGTCCCACTTGTTTATTTTTGCTTTTGTTGCTTCTGCTGTGGTGTCAGATTAAAGACTCGCTGCCAAGACTGTGTGGAGGAGCCTGCTGCCGGGGTCCTCCGCTGAGCGTCATGGTCAAGGGCGTGCGTTGAGCCTCGTGTGTGGGGGGAGTTGGGTCTGTGTGTGGTGTGGGAGAGTGGCCCGGTTCCACGTTCTGCATGTGCTGTTCCTGCCCATCGTGTGTGCTTCACCCTTGGTCCTGTGCGTGGTGGGGGTCACAGGAGAGAAAAAACGATAGAGGCTGGGACGATGCTTGAAAAGATAATGTCCCAAAATGTCCGAGTGTGATAAAATGCACGAATCTGCATATTCAAGAGGATCAGTGAAACTCAGGTAGGGTAAATGCAAAGAATTCTATACTGAAACATTATAATCAAACACCAGGAGATAGTCTTGAAAGCAGCAAAAAAAAAAAAAAAAAGGAAGAAGAAGTAGCCTGTTGCGTACTAAGGGTCTATAAGAAGATTAAAGGCAGGTTTGTTATCAAACACCACGGAGGTCAGAAGGTATAGACGACATACGTAAATAATGGCCTTACTCCGTAGAATGGTTTCCCTTGAGCAGTTGTGATCTGTTTGACTTGCCTAACGAATTAACCGCGTGTTCCTCTCTGTTGGATGTCTCCCCAGCGTACCGCGAGCCTCGTTTCTATTACCAGTTCACAGCTCGGTACCACGCAGCTCCTTGCAACAGTGTCTATAATGTGTCTTTCGAGAATAAACTTCTACAGATCTTAAGCAAACTGGTCCATGACCTTTCCTGTGAAGTTGCGTTGCTGAAGTCTGAATGCCATCATGTTAAAATGCAGAAAGCTGGTTTTCAAAATGAATTGTTTTTTAAATTTGCAGGTAAGTGTATGCAGTTTTTCAAAGAACATAAATTGAGAATACGAAGCTGATGTTAAAGACCTGTGAATTGCCGGGAGTGGGGTGGAAGTGTGAATGTTATAAAGCTGCTGCTTTCTTGTTCTCTGCTTTCACTTAGTTCTCCTGCCTTCGGAGTGAAATTCCACCGATCTATGTACTCAGGGAGGAGTTTGTACTCAACTAGCTTACACTTTGCTGTGGTGATTTACTTCAGAGTGGAATTTAGTATGAGGAATGTCTGTTAGTTGGCTACAAAAACTTAATTTGTAGAAGTGTCTAATTACAGTAAGACGGGTTAATATTACAAATGGAGCGAACGTTCCAACAGCTTGGGGTGCTTTTCCTGATAGTGCGGAGTGGGGACCCAAAACTTTCCGGAGGAAAATAGGGTCTCACAGTGGGAAGGGGGGTCCTCCGGTTTTGTCCTTCCCTTCCTTTGTCCTCGCCGCTGCCCCACAGGCCTCGCGGGCCGCCCGCGTCCGTCTTTCTTTCGGCCCCCCCCCCCACCATGGGACGGCGGTCCCAGCAGACCTCTCCCCGCAGCCCCCCACCCCGCTCCTTCCGCCACAAGACGGAGTGTGTGCGCGCCGAGAGACCCCCAGGACTTTCCTCGCCGAGTTGTTGTGACGGCCACACTTACAGAATCCTCTCGGGTTCCTTTCAGAAGTGCTTTCTCTGTGTTGACACCATCTATTTGTCAAGGCATCACTTTTCTGTGTTCTTGTCCAGTATTTTCTTTAGCTTTTTTATTAAAAAATGTTTTCTTTTATTGACTCCGGAGAGAGGGGGGAGGGAGGGGGAATGAGAGGGAGAGAAGCACCGGCCAGTGGCTCCTGCACGTGCCCGAAAGGGGACTGGCCGTGCAGCCCAGGCGCGCGGCTGACAGGGGATCGGACCCACGTGACCTTGCGGTTCGTGGGGCGACGTCCGGCCACCGGAGCCGCACCGGTCAGGCCGGGACATCCACCGTGGTTGGGACGGTTGATGTAGGGTCCACGTCCAGTAAGTCCAGGCCTGTGCTTCCTCAGTGACAGTTTCTGCTGCTCTCTAGTGGACGGTCCACATTCCCCTTCCTTCGCGTGCCCTGGACATTTCTTCGGAAAGTGTGCGTTGTGAGTATTCTAACATGTAATACTCTTGAAATCAGACTCATCGCCTCTTTTCTGTTTGCGGTGGTTTATGTGGGTGCAGATGTTCGTGTAGTGACTTTTTTTAAAATATTTTATTTATTTATTTTTAGAGAGGGAAGGGAGGGAGAAAGAGAGAGAGAGAAACATCAATGTGCAGTTGCTGGGGGTCATGGCCTGCAACCCAGGCATGTGCCCTGACTGGGAATCAAACCTGCGATGCTTTGGTTCCCAGCCCGCACTCAGTCCACTGAGCTAAGCCAGCCAGGGACTATGTAGTGACTTTTTAAACTGCTTCTGTAAAAGTTGCATACTTTGTTGTATGTGATGTCTGAGGTGTCCGCCCGTGACTGGATGTTAGGTAGTGGTTTGATACAGATTTCTCCCAATGCGGGGTCTAAGTCCATTCACGTGAACGTAGCGTTCCCGTGGCTGTTTCCAACAGTGAACTCTGTCCCACAGCTCCGACAAACTGGCGGTGACAGCTGTGGCCATGCTTTGGCATTTCTGAGCTCTGCCGTGTCCACGGATGTCATTCTGGTGTCCTCGTCGGCCGATCTTGTGGGAAGCTCATCTTGATAAAAAGGCAGGCAGTTTCCTATGGGGCGAGGCCAGCCATCCAGCCTCAACAACGCGGGCGTGTAGCGCAGGAGGCAGAGGCGCAGGCAGGGAGAGCACGCCCGTGGGCCCGGGCGGGGGCGGCACAGGGTGCCTGCTGGCTCTTCTCCCGCTGCTCCCGAGTTTTCTCGTGACCAGGGCCCTGGGTGAGTGACTCGGGCGACCAGCCCCTGTACTGATTCTGGAGACGGGTCCCTTTCTGCTGGTTCTCTCACTGGTGCCAGTGGTTTTGCTTCAGGGTAATGAATAGATTTCAGTGAATCTTACCCTCTCCTTAAACTTGTATAAAGATGCGAAGTAGAAAACGTTGTGCACTACCATAACCACCCATCTCACGGCTGCGTGGGGACGACACTCGGCATCGCCGCGCTTTGCCGCCAGCCGGGGACGGACGCTGGACAGACGTGGCCGCCTGTGGCCGGTGCCTTTCATCACGACGCTGTGTGCTCGTGGCTCGTAGGCGGGGAGAGCGCACTGTCCTCCGGTCTGGACTCCGTGTGCTCTCGTTGCAGAGGATTCTCAGGTAGAGACAGACCGTAAAAGCCCTCTCCTCCAGGTGTGCGGCCGCACTGGGAAGGCTGCCTCAGAGCAGCGGCTCTTCTGGCGGGTGCAGCAGCGTCACTGGGACGCCTTCCATTGCCTCGTCCGCGCTGTGACCTTCCCAGAGCCGTAGGGGTCGGTTCGGGTGGCTGCTCCTCACCCACCCTTTTGCTACTGACTGAATTCCTACGATAGCCTTTGGCTTTTAAAAACTCTCCTTTCAGCCCTGGCTGGCGTAGCTCAGTGGATTGAGCAGGGGCTGGGAACCAAAGTGTCGCAGGTTCGATTCCCAGTCAGGGCACATGCCTGGGTTGCAGGCCACGGCCCCCAGCAACCGCACATTGATGTTTCTCTCTCTCTATCTCCCTCCCTTCCCTCTCTAAAAATAAATAAATAAAATCTTTAAAAAAACAAACTTCTCCTTTCAACAGAAAAGTGTTACTGAATGGGTCACATTAAGCATCAGGACGGTGACCCTTTAGTTTCACAGCGGGGGTGACCCCCCCCTGCGGCCTGCCCCCCCAGCCCCTCTGCTCTCCACGCCTCCTTCCCCGCCCCACTTCCTGCGGCCCGTGCAGACCGGCCGTACGGTCCCACCTCACCGGCCGTTCAGTCCTCCGCGGCTTCGCTGGAGTTCCTCCGGCCGGCTCGCGGTTTAGAACCGTGACCCGGCCCGGCCTCGCGGCCCCAGTCCTTCCTCCCCGCTCCCACGCTCCTCCGCGCTGACCCGGGGCTCACCCCCTTCTCCACTCTGCGTCCGCATCCGTGTCCGTGTCCCGGTTCTGTGCGCCGTTCCTTTCTCTGCCTGAGAGCAGGGTCTCCGGAAGGGCACGGGTTGCCGGCTTCCACTGCGTCTGTGCCCTGGACCCCTGGGCAGCTCCTGGCACGGAGCAGCTCCCGATAAGTACTCCTTGGCGGGGGGGTCCACGCGGGCCCGCGTGGAGGGACAGGTGCGTGATTTCCGCCACCTCCACCTCACCCTGCTGCCAGCACCGCCACCGTGGGTTATCGCCGTTGAGTGGCGGAGAGTCAGTCGGATGACACGCACTCCCAGTTAAAGTGACCCTGCTGTTAAAATTTTATGAACACGGTAGCCAAACGTTAGCTCTCAGAAAAGTTGAATGATGTTTAGGTTCACTGTACTGAGAGGTTTTCCTGATGTATGTGAAACACACATTTTGCTGAGGGTTCTAGCTGAGAAAAGGGGCTTTAGCATTCAGAAAATCGCATCATTTTTTAGTGGAGGAGACATAGTCGACAGATGAGGTGTCTTGTATCTAAAAAGCTAATGTAGACATTGCGGCACAGCACGTTAGCTCCGTTGTAAGAGGGAACGTGTCTTCGCAGTTTCATGTGTGGATACTGAAAAAGAACCCAAGCCGTGCGAGGACCTGAACTGCGACTACTCCAGGAGGCTGTCTAAGGTGCGTCTGGGGGGGCGGGCGGGGGTGGGGACAGACGGGCCACGCCCCCTGTGGGAGGGGCAAGCGAGCATCCTGCCCCCCAATCTGAACCACATGGGCCCCCCTCACTGAGGGCATTCAGTGGGACAGATAAAACCCCATCCCATATGAGCGATGAGAGCTTAACGAAGCCGGTGCCTTATGAAATCCTGGGAAAGCCGGCATTTTAACTGCATTGAGATGGCTTCCCTTTTATTTGGCCTTACTTGGTAGTTCAGAGTACTTTGCCCTGTCAGTGTCCAGGTGACAGATTTGGTCTGTAATGTTTGCCGGCTCTTCTCGGGGTGCTCGGCCCCAGAACCCTGGGCCTGCACTTGGGGTGACAATTGTGCCGTAGCCGTCAGGACTCATTTCACTTAGTGCTTGCTTCTACATTGCACTTGACATACTGTTCGTGTTCTACTAGCAAGTGGGTGATGATAGTTTCCTACCTCTGGGTGTTCTGAACGCCCAGGACACTCTCTAAAATTACTTTCAAGTGTCAGGGATGTTATTTATGCTGTGGTCACTGTAACGCTCTCCCCACTGGAGGCGTGGTGTTGCGTTCTGGGGTCAGCATCCGTTGCTTCTGTCCTGGAGTTAACAAGTGGGCGGGCTTTTCTTTTTAGTGATTTATTTACTTATTTTAGGCATATTTTATTGGATGTACTGGGGTGACACTGGTTAATTAGTAGTGAGGTTGTGCAGGTCTCGGGGGCACAGCTGCAGAGCACATCTGCTGTGTGCGGCGCTGTGCTCACCACCCCAAGTCCAGTGCCCGCCCGTCCCCGTTTATCTCCCCGGACTCTCTAGCGTTTCTTCAGCCACATGAATTCCCTGCACCTCGCCCAGACGACCCACGTATGGAGGGTTTCTGTAAGTACGGCTGGTTCTCGCATCACCCAGTCGGGGGCGAGAGCTGTACTTCGCTGCCTGGAGTCCCTCCCACCGCGGCCGGCTCCACGGTTCGCCCCGCGTCTGGCTCAGACGGCCCCGCGTCCGTGTCGGCCACCAGCCCGCTGGCAGAGCTGGGTTCCGGGTCCAGGCGGTGTCTCCCTCCTCCCCGGTCTCACCGCGTGAAGCTGCTGTTCTTACTCTTCTTTCCAGAGGGGAGGGGAGGGGGCGGGGCTGACTGTGGGGGGCGGGGGTGGGCAGGGCAGGAGAGAGTAATGGGGGGAGCCGGGGGCAAGTGTAGTTGAACAGCACACAAATCAAAGAGACGCAGGAATCTGACTTGCATGGTCATTTTTATTGCCATCAGGTTTTCTCAGGTCTAGTTTCATTGATTTTTCTTTTCTGATGGAGTGTTAGGAAGCCGAGAGATTATGAGCGTGTTTCCTGAAAATTTTCATTGTACTTTGGCAATTAAAAATGGTTTCTTAGATACAAGATGTGTATCTGATTAATTCTTAGGCACTTTCTTGAGGAAAATCTGTTTGACTAAATAAATAATAATGAATTCAACCAGATTTATCAAAAGCACAAGAAAACTAAACTGTAAAAAGATAAAAAGGTAATAACCGAGCGATAGAATTGGAGCTGTGTAGATGTGTTGGATGCAGTGCACTGAAAATCATCTTTATAGTTACGTGTAGAAGTTTTCGTGAAGGGGGGCAGTTTGGGAGGTGCTGGGAGAAGCCAGTCACCGCCGGGGGTCACCGACCAGGGGAGCCCACGCGTCCGCGCCGCGGCGAGGTCGGAGGGGAAGCGGCTGCAGCCCCGCGGAGCTGACCAGGGTGCGGACGGTCTGAGCCCGCGACCACGCCGCACGCCTCCGCTGACAGAGCCTGCCCGTCCCTGAGGAGGAGGAGGCTCTCGTGACTCGCGTGGGTCCGTCCGGAACGACCGCTGCAAACAAAATGCCATTGACCCCAGATCACGGTGATGTCTTGATTGTCTCGTACATTAAACTTTCTGGAACCCAGAACTGTAGGTTTTACCCAATGCTGTGTTTTCTTTTGTTTTTTAACCTGATTTCTGTTTGTGAAAAGAGCGAATGATATCCTTCTTAAAGATCCTTAAAGCACATTTCCCTAAGCACAGTTGTTAGAGTGTACTTGTTGGAGCACATTTAGTTTCATAAAGCTTTACTGACTTGGGCCCAGTCCCGTCCATATTTCACTCCAAATGCCAAGGGACCAGCGAGTTTGGGCACGTGTCCAGCGGGGTTCCCCGTGCTGTATTTGGGGATGCGTTTGGAATGTCTGCGGTTGGAGGCTGACATGTTTTAATTTTTACACGTGTTACGTATATCCTGTAAATGCAAGAAAAAATGAGGACCTCAAGAACTTGGTTTTCCCTGCTTCTAAATACATAAGCAACCTATTTACTCTAAAACCACATATATTTTTGAAAAAAAATTTTCCATATTGTATTTCCCTCTTAGGCTAAGAACCTCATAGAGAGGTTTTTCAACCAGCAAGTGACGGTCCTGGGCAGGCGCGCGGAGCCGCTGCCGGAGATCTACTACATCGAGGACACCCTGCAGATGGTCTGGATCAACCGCTGCTTCCCGGGCTACGGGATCAACACCATGAAGCACCCCAAGTGCCCCGAGTGCTGCGGTAGGTGCGCCGCCGCCGCCGCCGCGGTCCGGGCTCCGGCCCGTGGTTTAAGTGCTCCTGTGGTTCATTTGAAACGGTGCTTGAAGAGACCGTGTGCCTCTGGCTGGTTCCAGCCTGGGGGTCCACGTTGTTGCGGTGGAGCGGGGTTAGGGGTGGCAGGCGTCTGTCGGGGGGGAGGACAGCAGTCATATGAGTAGGGGTCTCTTGCCCTGCAGAGGGTCAAACCACTCCTCTTCCAGAATCGACCACAGACACAGTCATGTGCATCCAGCCCAGAGCAGGCACGGCTCACCCGCCGTGGGGTGAGCGTGGGAACCAGCGGCCGTCTTTCTGACGCATGCGCGGCCCGGCCTGACACCACAGGCCGGCGCCACCCTGGCCGGTGGCCCCCACCCTCTGATCACCGCGGAGCCCGGCGCGGGCTGGGGGGCGGCCGGCCTCGGGTCCGCCGGCGCCCTTTCCCAGAGCGGGCACGCCAGTCCGTCCGGGGTCTCCGGGCTTTCTTTCTAAGGAGATAACGAGAGTCCCTGGGTCAGCGCCTGGGTCATTGTCGTGCAGTCCTGTCTGCTCTGTCCCCCCCCCTCTGCTGTTTCCAGTCAGATTAGAGCCTCTCTGCACCACGTTCTGGAAAGCCGTGCAGGTCTCCCGGGTGTGTCACGGCGTCTGTGCCCTCGGTCCAGAGGGACGGGTCTGGCGGCGGCCGACCCTCCCGCAGAAGGTGCCTCAGTTCCAGGCTCCGCGGGACAGGGGCTGGCTCCCAGAGCCGTGTGGCCCCTGGGCGTCGGGAAGTGTGCCCAGCCACACCCGCCCTCTCCGGAGCCTGCGTGTCCCATCCGGACGGGCCGAGGACCTCTCTAATGACAGGCCCGTCCGTCCGTCCGTCCTGCTCAGCAGCGCCGCTCTCCGGCGCGTGCTCGCTGCGCGTCCGGCGGCCGGGCGGGTGCAGAGCCTCTCGCCTGCTGCTGCTGCTGCTGCTGCTGGAGCAGGGCTTCTGGTCCTTTCGGTTTTTGCTTCCACCCAAACGGCTGGTCGCATTATTTATTTTGTTCCCTGGGGAACATTTTGGTAACTGTGTCCTTCCAGGGACAACCCTCTCCCTGACGCAGCGTCCGTGGGACCTCGCAGATTTCCTCGTGCTGCATTTCCATTTCACTCGCTTCAGAGGGCTCGCTTCTCTCCTGGTTTCCTCTCCAAGCAATTGCTTATTTAAGCCATTGTGATGTTCAGTTTCCAAGTAGTATGGAAGTTTCCAGAGATCTTTCTTTCTACCGAAACCCAACTTATTTCAGTATGGACAAAATCTCCTCCTGGTATGTGTGCTGTGAAAATATTTTCCCAACTGAGGTTGGCATGTTTGTTTTAAGAAAAAAGAAGTTCAGTTTATTACTTTTTATTCTGTGGTTTATGTGTTTGTGTATTTTTTCCGTTCTGCATGTTTGTTTTATTTTTTACATTCAATTCTTGATCTCTCCTGCCATGTTATTGTTTATATTTTTTATCTTTTTTTCTTCTTAAAGAAGAACTTTAACATTTCATGTAATACTAGCTTGCCGGTAATGAACTTCAGCTTTTTCTTGTTTGGGAAGCTCTGTATCTGCCCTTCCATCCTAAATGGTAGCTTTTCCGGGCAGGGTCATCTGGTTGCTGGTCCCTGCTTTCCATCGCTCTGGGTACCTCTTGCTCCTCCCTTCTGGCCGGCACAGTTCCTGCTGAGAATCAGCCGACAGTCTTATGGGAGCTCCCCTGAAGGCAGGCGACTAACTGCGTTTCCCTCGCAGCTTTTAAGATTCTCTCTGTCTCTAAACCTTGGCGTTTTAATCACGATGTGTCTTGGCGTGCGCCTTGTTGGGTCCGTGTCGTCTGGGACTCGGTGCCCTCCGGACTCGCGTCTCTTCCCTTCGCCAGGCTGGGGAGGAAGGTTTCCGTCATCGTTTTCCAGATGGGTTTTCAATTCCCTGCTCTTTGCCCTCCCCGTCTGGCACCCCGCGGTGAGAATGTTGGTGCTTTCGACGTTGTCCCAGAGGCTCCTTGCACTGTCCTCATTGATTTTGGATTCGTTTCTTTCTTTCTGCTGTCCTGACTGGGTGTTTTGAGCCTCCTCATGTTCCCAATGACGGATGGGGTTCTCGGCTCCGCCTGCCCCAGCGTAGATTTCCTGTGAATCGTTCTTCGTTTCGTCAGTGTGCCCTTGCTCCCCGACTGGTCCTGATTTACGGTTTGTGCGTCCTTCCCAGTGCTGTGGCGGTTCTCCCGAGTTCCTTGAGCGTCTTTACAGCCATCGTTTTGAACTCTGCCTCTGACAGTTTGTCTGCATGTCACTTCATTCCTTTTCTGGGTATTTCTCCCGTTCTTTCCTTGGGGACCTGTCTCCCTGGGCGCTTTGTCTGCTCGCCGACACTTGCAGCTGCGTGTCAGGCGGAACCGCCGCGTCTGCGGGCCCCGGCAGAGCGGCCTCGCGCGGTAGGTGTCCTGCAGGGCCCCTGCCTGGTGCAGCCTCCCCGGTCCTCCAAGCCGGGCGCTGACCGTGGTGGCGTAGTCACGACATGGATTATCCTGTGTTGGGGATGATCAGATTCAGCTAAGCTAGGCCAAGTAACTTTCCTCAAAATTACGTATTTAGCGAGTGATAGGAATCAGGCTCGGGACAGGAGTGTGGTTACAAGTGAGCCACGTGCCCTCTCCACACTCGGGCCGTCGTTCCGCACCTAAGCTAAGGGCACTGTCACGGCCACACTGGTTCCTCCCGCGCCCTGACCTCTGGGGCCTCTGCTGTGACTGGCCGGCGACCCGGCCGGCCCCTCAGCCCAGCGCCACGCGGTTCGAGAGTCAGTGGTGGGTCGCAGCCTCCGTCTAAGCCAGGGTCGGAGCGGAAGGCTAACGCTCTGCACTCGCAGGAGGCAGGTGGAGGGCCAGACTGCACAGGATCGACTCGTGGAAGGAACCGTGGAAGGGGGCCGCGGAGGGTGGGGCGGGGGAGCGGGGGGACAGAGGGTTGCAGCTTCTCCCGAGTGAAAGCACTTCGGGAGACTGAGTGAATGTGCTTCCCGCCACTGAGCTCTGAGCTTAACGGTGGTTGGCCGGGTCAGCTTTACGTCACGTGTCATTCCGCCACAATTAAAGCAGAAGGACAGTTTCCAAGTGAACCTGCCCTGCTGACCGGCCCGGAGGACGCCTTTCTCTTGCCCCTCCCTTACGGTGGTCGGCTGGGCTCAACTGGCGGCAGGACCACGCACCAGGTAACTTTTTAAGGTGGTGAATATGTCTCACTTTGTGTTGTGTATAACGCATTAAATACTCAAAGATTCTTGCGTCAATCTTCTGCTGCCAAATTAATATCAGACCCTTTTTAAGGCGATTATATGTTTGATTCAGAAGCGTGTGTGATATGGATGCAGTTGGGTGAAGCGTCAAGTATAAGTATCTCAAGTGGATGTGTGATTCAGGTCTTCCCAAGTAACCCAATGACCTTTCAAAAATGCTCATTACAAACCTATCATGACCAGAAGGTTCTGCAGTTATAAGACAACTCCAGTCAAAATGTGTAGGATATCTCTAAACATTCATATTTAATGTGGTAAGTTGTGTTTCCATTTATTTCAAATCGCATGGTTAATTTATGATTGTGTGTTTTGTTGCCTTTCTACACAGTTCTAGTTGTGTAAGTTTTTGATCAGTTATTATTCAGTTGAACCAACATGCTGATAAGGCTGGTCCAAGGGCCAGCGATGATTCAAATCAGGACGTCACCGGCGAAGCTGCCTTCCCCACTTTCCGTTTCTATGCTATCAATGTAACAGCACTGAGGACGAGCCCCAAACCTCCATTCTTTTTGAAAGCTCAATGCTTCTCTTTCTAAATCCCTCTGGAATCCTGAAACCTTGCTTGCAATCATGGATTGAGGTGTATTGTTGTGAAGTTGGCAGAAAAAAACAGATGTTTCATTCTCCGTCTATGTGGACATTCGGGAAAAATTAGCGTGATCAGAATAAGCGCGTCTCCCCCCAAGTACAGCAATGCAAACCGTGCCATTAGCCTTAGCATTTATAATCCACCGCTGGGCGGAAAAACTGCTTTGTCGCCCGTCCCGCGCGGGCTGGGCGGCGACGGGGAGGAGACGCAGAGTCAGTCCCCTGAGGGCAGAGCCGGGGCTCCTGCTGCGCGTTCAGGGGGAGGTGCAGACGCGCTGGGGGGCTCGTTTGCCCTAACTCCCCCCCAGACAAGCCGGGGGCCCCCGCTGTACCGCTGCGCCGGCCTGAGGGCGCCACAGTGCTCACCGTGCAGGCCCCTGGCCCTGTCTGGGGACAGTTTAAAGTCCCGGTGAGCAGAGACAGCAACGCCCGTGACAGCCAAACACACCCACGCCCGTCCGATGTGGGGGCGGCGGGCGGGCAGGAGGGCCCCTTGGCCATCCCGCAGCCGCCCGCCCACGCGAGGGAGCACAGGCGACAGAGGCAGGAAGTGGCCCGGGGGACGGCGATCCGGAGAGGGTCTTCCGAGGAAAGGGCCAGACCCAGCTGTGGGAGGAGGCGGGACGGGGGCAGAATTCCGGGAGAAACCAGCCCCCGTGTTTCACGACCCGTCGGCGGGCGCGCAGCCCCGCGGTGGGGAGGGGATCGGCTACACGGGAGAGACGGGTCGGAGCCAGAAAAGACAGCAGGCCCACGGCGGGGACGGTTGGCAGCACGGACCTTTAATCGGCGTCTCCAGAACACGTGCGCGCGCGCGCCCGACGGAGGGGCCGAGGGGCCGCGGAAACGCCGTGCGCGCGACGGCGCGCTGCGCGTACTCACTGCGGGAGCGCGCATTTATCAGGGGAGGGGCCTCGCGCCCCCAGTTCCCGGCGGTGCCTTGAAATGCACGCACTTCCCCCTCCTGCGGTGGCCGTTTCCAGGAAAAGCCAGAGGACCGACAGTTTTCCGCTCTTCCCCGTCCACAGTCCGCTCCGCTCCAGCGGCCGTCCGCAGCGCCCGCCCGCGCGTCCGCAGTAGGAGCGCCCTCCGCGGCGGCGCGCGGCCGCGGCTACATCTGCCGGCACTCGTGCCGCGTGCAGGTGGCCTGCCGCTCGATGCGCCACGTGCCCTCCTCGTAGGTGCAGTGGCAGATGGTGCACTCGTCCGTCCTCACCTCCCTCCCGGCCGGGATGACGGCCGTCTCCGCGAAGCAGTTGGGACCTGCAAGGCAGAGAGGCGCGTTTCAGGGCGTGGGTGTGTGCGGGGACACGGGTCACGCGTTTCGCTGGCGGTCAGCCTGCCGGCCCCTGCTCACACGCGCTCTCCCGGAGGGCAGTGGGGAAGGTATGGTCAGTGAGGTGCAGCTCCCCCCACGTTTTCTGAGGCAGGACCAGCAGCATTTAAAGATTGCGATGCCGACACCGCTGTCATTTTCACTGGAGACGATCCCACTCGGGGCCTCACCCACAGGCCGAATCTGCAGCCATTTGAGGTAATTAATGCTAAGTAGCCAGGGAGAGAAGCACCACCGTGACTCTCAGAGAGCCGGTCTCGTTCCCCCCGGCCCCTCTGGGAGAGAGAGTTCAGGCCAGCTGCTGGAAACAGCCCAAGACCTGGGTCCCGCCCGCGGCCCCTGGTGCGGCTTGGACTCAGGACAGTCCCCGTGCGGCCCCGGCACACGGACGCCTGCCCTCCCCCAGAGCGTCTGGCTGCCGGTCGGAAAGGGAGAGTTCGCTCCGGAAGCAAATCCTGGGTGAGGCCACCACCCCACTCCGTGGGCCAGGCTCCGAGGGGCCCCGTCTGGCGCTGCCAGGGCCGCGCCCTCCCCACCTGTCCCCACGGGCTCCCGGGGTCCCAGGTCAGCAGCCACCGTCAGCTTCTCAGCCCAGGTGCCACCCCCACACGCGACCTGAGCGCAAGGTCGAGGACAGGACTCTAGGGTCACACGGACTTCCAACGAGTGGAAACGGTTTCACGCTGGGGCCCACGCACCGGATTCAGGGGTGCACCTGGGGCCTGCCCTCCAGCCTCCCTCCAGCACCGAGCCCCTGTCCCCGCTGCGGCCGAAACCAGGGCTGGCTCGGCGCCTGGGTGGAGGGCTCCGGTCCCCCTCGCCCTTCCTCCGCTGGTCAGGTCCCTGATAACGTGCCTGACACCCTCGTGGCCGTGACCTTCCCTCGCCTGGAGGGGTCTCCCCTCACACACGGCCGCTGAAACCTTGTGGACACTTCTACCCCACACAGCAGTGCCGGAAAATGAGGCAATAAAACATGAGTGGGAAGTGTGGCCGACCCCTTTGCCCAGCGTGTGCAGAGCCCAGAGGCGACACTAGGGGGCAGCACAGGCCAATTCGCCAGGCGGGTATGTGGGTCACCCCCTCCCAACCCCCATGGCCCAGCGCGCGACCCCCAAAATGCTTCCTGGCAACAGCGCCCGGCTCACCTGTCATGGTGACGCCAACTGCGGGATTCGGTTTTTACTAACCCGGATGACAGAACTATCGATTCTGTTCGTCATTGACAGGTGACCTACAGTCACTGGGAGGAGAACCTCCAGCTACCCACCAGATTTCTGCGTGGTCTTGGTTCATCCAGAGCAGGGCGGGGGCGGGGGGCAGCGGCGGGGGACACTGAGGCCGAGAGTGCTCGAACTGGAGAACTTTAGACCTCAGGGGAGGGGGGGGAACCTTTGTTCAGATCCCTCAACACACAGGTGGGGACTCGAGACAGGGCTGCCCAGGGGGACCGGCTGCAGTCAGACTGAGCCGGCCGGGGAGCGGGCGTCTGTCCCTCGGGCATTTCCGGTGCGACCCACCCCACCAGGTGGCGCCCAAGTTCCAACACTGTGGCCGGCGGCGAGGGGCAGCATGTGGGTGGGCCGTCGCCACCGCGGAGACCAGCCCAGGCCTCCTGACCGCCGAAATAGCATGTTTCAGGATCACGTTCACCCAGCTGCTCGCTTATTTGCAACTCACGGGTTTTCTCCCGGTCAGTGTGCAGCGGCCACCGCCGAGAGCCAGGTGGGGAAGCCCGGAGGGGCAGGGTGCCCACTCCTGGGGCGGCAGGAAGCGTCCGCCAGCCTGTCCCTGGGCATCGCAGCCCTGCAGCCACCGCCTCGCTTCCTCCCCGGTCGCGGCTCTGGGTCCTCGGTTCTGGGGCGCCCCCTCGTCACGCTCGGGACCCCAGATGTGCCATTGTCTTCTTTCAGTGGAAAGGAAACACTAGAGAAAGTGTCCTCAGTTGTGCAAAGAAATCAAGAAAAGGAGAAGCTCCCCGATGCTGCGGAACCCGGGACCCCACGACAGCACCGCTCCCCCAGACGTCAGCCAGCACAGGCTTGGGGGGGGGGTCGGGGTCCGGGGCGAGGAGCCAGACGGGACCGTGCTCGGGGGAGGGGGCGGGGGAAGGGCGGAAGCTCCTGTGGAGGCCGCTGTCTACTTCAGAACAACAGCAGCAGCCCAAGGAAGGCCCAAATAAAAGCCGCTGACGCCGAAAACACGGTAACTCTCCGGGTAAACACGGACGGCCTGCCCCATCCCCGGCTCCCTGGGCGGGCCCACTGGCAGGGCGGTCCCGCGGTCACGCAGCGGGTCTGTCCGCCCACCCGGGTGCTGGGCTGTGATCGTGGACGGGGCCCAGCAGGGCGGCCCCAGAGCTGGACAGGCCCCGAGGTTTCCCATGCACCACGCTCTCTGTCTGAAGTCACAGCCACGTGCAGGGTGCCGGCGCGCTCCCCGAGCCCCCTCCTCCAGCCCCCCTCCAGTCCCCCCCCAGTCCTGCAGAAGCGGCCCTCCTTCCCGGAGAAAGCTCCGGAGCAGCTCAGTGTCCCCGGGAGTGCAGGCGGCTGAGAGCCTCTGAGCCCCGCAAGCCTGTCACAGGGCGTCGGGCAGCGCCGCCCTGAGCCCAGCGCGTCAGGGGCGCCCACCGCGGGGCGAACGCAGACCCCGTGTTTGAAGCCGACTTGGCAGCTCGTGTCAGGCTCCCCGGGTGCGAGGGCTGCGCCGACACGGCAGCTCCACGGCCGTAATTAAGAGGATCGTTCTCAAGCTAATTATGCCTTATTTATTCATGCCAAATAAAGCCGTCTTGACAGGTGATGTCTGAATGCAGATGATAAGCCCGTCAGGAGAGGGAGGGGGCAGGGGCATCGGAAAGCAGGGTAAAATGTCAAAGCTTATGGAAAATGAAAAAAGAAAAACAAGCAACTTCTCCCCCCTCTGGTTCTGGAGCTGCCCTCGGCGGACACACGGTGGTTTTCCTGAGACGTGTTTTGCCGAAGCGCCACGTGAAACGTGAGCTCTCCAGAGGGCAAAGTCGGGAACGCCCCTGAGAACTGTCTGGTCCTCCTGCCGGAGTGTGCGGCGTTAGAGGAGTATCTGTGTCCCCTTCCCTGTCTTCAGGGCTCTGTGAGACAGATGTCACCTGCTCCACAGGTGTGGGAGCGGAGGCCCAGGGGTGTGAAGGAGAGTGAGGTCATTCTCTCTCAGGTTTGGTGTAGTCCTGCCTGAGTCAGATCCGTGCGGCCGCAGGCCGTGGGCGGCCTGAGTCTGCCTGAAAACAGCCCTGTCCCTCCGGCTCCTGCGGACACACAGTGCGCCCCGGGACCACGGGTCAGGTCCACGGGGTCCCCAGCTCGAAGACCGAGGTGCCCAGGCTTGCCGAGTTCTCGGGCGCAGCACCCGGCCCCCCCACGGGGTCTTCAGGAGTCCCGTCACTCATTCATTCATTTTGGAAACGAGTGGTTCGTGCCAGCACCGGGCGGGTTCCCCGAGCGTGGTGCATCGCTCCCCGGTGGTGCTCTGCAGCCCCCCACCCTGTTGCCTGACGCCCCCACCCCCGTCCTTTGCTCCGTGGTAGCCGCTGTCCCGGCTGGCCCCAAACCCAGACGCGACATGAATTCAGGAGAACGCGCTCGTCTCGTTTTCTCACGTCCCCCTCTCCCGCAATCTTCAGGAGCGACACATCTTTCAATATTTATTTTAGCGGCCTTTCGGCCCGTGCCACCTCCCGGTGGAACTGCTGGGGGATGTGGGCAAACAAAGTCTGAACCTGTTCCCAGGAAGATGACTCCAGTGGGGGGCTGTCCTCGCACGCTCCCCTGCCTGTGCGCCGGGGACTCTGGGGAGACCGCTGGCAGACCTGGGGAAACGGGGGTGTGGCCGTTTAACCTTCACGGCCGCCTGCGCCGTGTCTGCTTCCAGGGGCAATGAGCAGTCCTAGCGGGAAGGGGACACAGGCGGGCTTCCGGGTCCCTCCTTCCCCGGAGAGCACGGGGCTTTGCCCCTCCCCCGCACCCCTAACGGGCATCAGGGCCGGGCACCGGCGGGGGTGGGGCAGGAGTGAGGGACCTGCTGGCCCAGGCAGGGCAAAGGACAAGCAGGGTCGCATCGTGGAACGCCGGGCACCGGGGGTAACGCGGAAGACGAAGCTGTGCCCGTTCTTGGCGGGCCTGGCTGAGAGTCGGTCGATCTCCCGGCCAGCTGCATGGCCGGGCGTCACTGGTGGGAGACAGAGGACCCGAAGAAGGAACCCTTGGGCCTGTGGGCACGCTTCCGCGGGCGTGTGGGGGAGCCAGGAGCTTCTGGGTCTAAAAACAAGACTCTCCCACGTTTCCCACGTCACCGACGGGAAGACAGCCCTGGGAGGGAGAAGTGGCCCCGGAGGAGGAACGTCAGCGCAAGGCACAGCTGTGGGGTCTTTTATCAGGAACTAGGAAACCGCCAGGGGGCACCTCGCACGGTCTCAGCTGCACAGAAGGGCTGCTGAGGCCCCGAGGGCGCGGTCCCCCACAGTGCCACGGGTGCTGCCCCCGGTCCCGGGCGCCTGGGGCTGGGCACCGGGGAGGTGCTGGGCGAGAGCTGGGGGGAGCTGGGGGGCAGGGGTGCGCTCTGCGGGTCGGAGGTAAGGGGTCCTTGCCGCCAGGTCCGGCCCCCGCACACACCCCCTGAACCTAGGTGGCCCCCCCACCCCCAGGTCTGACTCATCTTGACCGGCGGCTGGCTTTGGGCGGAGGAGCCACAGCGAGGGACAGACACAGAGACTGGGAAGTCGTGCCCCTGCCCAGGGCCGCCAGCTCTCGCTGCTTTCAGAGCTCAGAGCCCAGAGCCCAGAGCCCAGGGGTGCAGACACCTGGGCCGGCCCACCGAGGAGGTGGTGCCGGGCCATGGGGGTGAGGCCCCGGTTACAGGGTCCTGAGCTCAGTAGAGGAATTCTTTCTTTCAG